GCAGGCTTGGCACATTTTGGCGTGTTCCAGGCAATTCTTCACCATGTTTGGCCAGTAATAGCCCATTCTTTTGAGCTGGAAATGCAGCTTTGGTCCAGACTGATGTGCCCCGCATACACCTGAGTGTGATTCTTCCATGGCTTGATCGACTTCTTCCTCACCTAGGCATCTTAGAAGTACCCCTTCAAAAGAGCGTCGGTAGAGTGTTTCTTTGTAGTAGAGGAAGTGAGGTACTCGTCGACGTATTTCAGAGTGATGTCTAAGATCATCTGAGAGCTTTCCATGCTCCAAGTAGTCGATCAGTGGCTGTTTCCACTCTTCAGTGTCGACTGGAAGTACTGAGATGACATTTGCATCGTCCAGTAACATTTCGGTAACTCGTCGACATATTTTACTGGACCTAAAAGAGTTTACAAATGATGTTTGGAAGTTTTAGCTCAAAATTGCCATACCATATATGCAGCAAGGAATAAAAATGAAGTTCTCAATTCGTACAGCCAAGTTTTGTTCATATAAATCACCCCTTTATTGTCAAGGTTCATTACAAGAAAATATCGATAATATCGGCAATATATCGCCGATATTATCGGTTTTTCCCCAAACCGATATTTTAAGTGGTATCCAAGGGGTTTTCGTCAAATTTTCGCGATAATATCGATAATATCGCGAAATTTCGGAACTGTGCAAGTTGGAGACGAACACCGGAGCTTCTACAGCTCCGGCCGACTGTAAAACAACCCCCTAGACTCCGATCTAGGTATGAACATGAAATAGAAGACGAGAGGAACGTTTTTATAACGTCCGTTTGCCGTGAAACGGCCGGAGGTGTTCGGAAAGTTCGTCGACACCCACGACCTCGCCGGAGATGGGTGTGCCTATTCCCGAGTCTGTCTGTCTGTCTGTCTGCTCTGGGAAGGTGAGTTGCAGAGAAGAGATGGGGGGAGAACCGGAGAAGAAACAAGGAGAAAGGGAGGGAGAAGGATCGAGATGTCTGAGGGAAGATGGAGTGGGAAGAGAGAGAGAGAGAGAGTAAAATAAATCTTTGAAATTCTGAAATGGCAAAGAAAAAGAAAGAGGTAAGGTGGACAGGGACCTTGGGTGATGTGAATGATGTGAACAGGTAAGGTGGACAAGGGTCATCAGATGGTTTTAATTGAAACCACCCACACCCGCTTGCGTGGGTTTTTTATATATTTAAAAAGTTCCTTGTCCATCAGATGGTTTTAATTGAAGGAATTGAAACCACCCACACCTACTTGCGTGGGTTTTTTTATATATTTAAAAAGTTCATTGTCCATCAGATGGTTTTAATTGAAACCACCCACACCCACGCGTTATATATTTAAAAAGTTTGGGATATATATATATATATATATATATATATAAATGTTACATAAATTATAAATTATTTAGATAATATTTTTTTTCTAGGTAAGCATATTATACATGTACATAAAACATTCGTATATGTATGTTCTTCTATAAGAAATAACATATTATTCAATAATTGTTTATATCTGATATAATAAATTTAATTAATTCATATAATATATAAAAAATTTACCTAAATCCGTCCAGGCCGCCTAGGCGTCCGCCTAGACTCCGCCTAGGTGCTAGGCGCTAGCCCACCGCCCAACTAACGCCTAGCGTTTTTAGAACATTGGCGTGTGTGTGGGAGAAGGGAAAAGGGAGAAGAGAAGGATCGAGAGACCGAGGTCTCTGTGTGCGTGTGTGGGCTCTCGATCTCTGTGTGCATGTGTGGTGGCGTGTGAAAGTCTCTGACTCTGTGTGTGTGTGTGGTGGTGTGTGAGAAAAAAAATAGCATCCAAATAATTCAAAACCGTGTCTCTGACTCTCTGTCTTTGACTCTTGACAACTTTTACAACTTTTGACAAGATAAAAAGTAATGGAGGTTTCATCAAGATTCTAAATCACTCATGTATCTTACCATGCAATATATAAAGTGTAAAATATTGTAGTAAATCATTATATAAAAATGATTATGGTGTGTTTAATCTTTTTTTCATTAATTACTACATATTTTCTACACTCACAGTGTTTGCCAGCTTGCTGTATAATCAACTTAAATCAGTTAAATCCATCATGCAATGCATTTCCTTCCAATTTTTTGTGATAAACTAATAGATAATTAACTAAATAAACATCCTGCAAAGTTTCAATAAAAAATTCCAAGTTTTTCGTACAATTTTCGTGGTTTCCATATTATTTATCGATATCGATATTATCCCGATATTTCCATCAATATTTCCGTGTTTTCGGACACCGATATTTCCGATATTATCGATATTTAATACCTTGATTACATCCAAGTCTCTTTAGCACAACAGGCATACAAAGTTTCGGAACCGAAGACGACATTACGTTCCTTATTCGCAGTTTTTTCACACATACACATACCACAACAGGTATACATTCGCTTTAGACCCTAGGGGATAAGCACAACAGATCCAGATGTTCTCCTGTTCTCGAGGTCTGCGTGTGCCTGTGCTGCTTCAGATAACGAGTAGGTGTGATTCACTCGAACACGCAGTACACCCGATGCAACATTAGCAAATACATCTCCTGCAGTCTCTAACAATTCGTCTTGCGTAACAGTGTAATGAAAGAGGGTAGGCCTTGTCAAGAAGAGTGATTTCGCTTGAAGAGCTGGTAATGAAACTGGATCAGGCACGCCTGATGACTGCCCAAAACTCACCATGTATCCCCGAGGTTTTAAGACCGCTAGTGATCCCTGAATACAATGCCTCCCGATAAGAATTCGTAGTCCAAAACACTAATCATCTATAAGATGATGTTGATTTTGGAGTTGAGGAGTTTAGTTTTGCAACATTTAAATCGATCATCATATGGTTATGGAGATAGGAGATGTATAACTTACCTCAAATGTATCCTTCCCAACAGAATCGTAGACAACCTCAACCCCTTTGTCGGATGTTATTTCTTTCACACGAGCAACAAAGTCCTCTTCCTTATAGATTATGACATGGTGGCATCCATCCTCCTTGGCTTGAGCTGCCTTCTCTTTAGTTGATACAGTTCCAATCACAGTGGCACCAAGGGCATTAGCCCACTGGCATAGAAGAGATCCGACTCCACCAGCTGCTGCATGAACAAGGACTGTGTGTCCAGGTTCGACCTGTATCACAATGAAATGATTGAGTCAGGTCTAATAACAAAAGCGACAATGGTTTCAAATTTTCAAAACATCCATAACATTAGGAAAAAGGATTGCCATCGTTAGGCATGCAATTGTGGAATTATGAGTGCTCATGATTTGCATATGAAACAGGCTATCCACGCTCAGCTTACGTTGTCCAAACAGGGACAATAGCTAAAACTGGTTTAGCGGCATATCGAACTTCATTTACATATGCAGGCACTGACCAGTACTAATGGTAACAAATATTCACCTTGACAAGAACAATGAAAAGTGTACGAAACAGATAAAAAGGTCGTACCCAGTGCACAAGGCTCCCGCTTTACGCAGGGTCTGGGAGAGGTGAATGTCGGCTAGCCTTACCCCCATTTTATGGAGAGGCTGCTCCCAAGTCTCGAACCCGAGACCTACCGCTCATGGGCGAAGGCACTTGCCATCGCACCAAGTGCGACCTCTAAAAGTGTACGAAACAGATAGCTCTATAAAAACATTCTGCAACGCCACATTTAATTTCAAGAAAGATTACAAAGGGCAGATGCGGGTACATATGTATAACACTACCTTGAAACAACGGCGCACTAGATACTGAGTTGTCATACCCTTAAGCAAAAGGGATGCTGCGACTGTAGGATCAATGGAAGCAGGAACAGGCACAGCTCTGTTTGCAGGAAGGATCTGCTCTTCCGCATATGAGCCCATTGGCTGACCAGCATATGCTACTGCTACTATATCTCCAACTTGCCTGCCTGTTAGTCCAGGTCCCACAGCCGTCACAACTCCACAAGCCTCGACACCTGAAGTCAGTTTTGATGTGTAAATAAATAGGCCAACTCCATTCCAGCACTCAATAGAGTTTTAGATGTAAACAAACAATAAATCTATCTGTGGGGAACAGTTAAGAAAATCAAATTTTGAAAGAGAACATAGGCCAAAAATTGGCGAGAAATGAAGCAAAACCTGGGGTGTAGGGAAGCGTAGGAGCCTTGTAAATGCCTTGGCGGAAGTGTACATCGATGAAATTAAGCCCGATAGCCTTGTTCTTCACGCGAATCTCACCCTCCTTTGGCTCCTCTACTTCCACATCTTCCCATTTCAACACCTAACATCATTACATGACAAACATAAGTAAAATGACCGTATTAGTGTTGGCATAAACTAAGAACCAGAGCAAAAATTTAACGAAATGGATATCGGATTCTGCCTAACAGAAGCTAAGCATAAATTAATACTGCCTAACAAAAAAAAAAAGCAAAAATTTAACAACATGGATCAAAGCAAGCACTTCAAGTGATTTTGGAACCCAAGAACATTTTCTCTAAAATTGCTTTCAGTCATTTTAAATGAACTAGCAAACCAACCCTACATCGTTTTTCGGGTCCAATTGCCGGCTTATGTGATCGATTATATAAGAAAAACACTTGATATGGCTCTAATCAACAAGCATGATCACTTCCAATTAAATTATAACACAAAATAAAAGCAACTCTCAAATTCAATGTGTCAAAAATATAATACAATATAAACAACTCAGGCTTAATAATTAAATTGGACTAATTCTGTTTTATCATACAAATTAAAGCACAACCCAGAATTCCGATTCATATATATATATAGAGAGAGAGAGAGAGAGAGAGAGAGAGAGAGAGAGAGAGAGAGAGAGAGAGAGAAAGACCTCAGGACCGCCAAGTTCATGGACTCGAATGGCTTTGACCATCTTTGCTGCCGCTGCTGCTACTTCAGTGTCGACTGCTCTAACTACTACCGCTACTGATGATTTCAGGGTCCTAAAAGCTGAACAATTGATGAAATTGTTGCTGGAAATCTGTGGAAAATTTGTAGAGTTTGGAGCTGACAGCAACTGGAAATAGGCCGGTGGACTTGTGATTGAGAAATGGGTAAAGTTAAACCATGCTTCTGGAATCTAATTGGAAGCATCGAGTATGGGGTTTATTCTTGGGAACTTTAACGAAAAACGGTTCACTTTAACGAAAAATCATATTTTTACTCTAAAAAGTCAATCCTGATACTATTCACTTTACCCTTTATTTTGTCCTTATCATTAAAACTCAAAGTTTTCAAACCCTTTTCATTAGTTTCCTTTTATTCTTTTGGGCCCAATCATTTTGGAGGGAATGTCCACGTGGGAGGATATGATTTTGACACGTGGGAAATGATCAAATCTCGTGTGTATTGTGTAGAATGTGAATCACTCTCTAAACATAGAAAAGAGAGTTTTAATGAAATAATGATACTGTTTACTTAAAGATATTTTTTGCTTAAAAAGTCACTTTTACCTTTTTTTAGCACCGTCTTTCAACTTTGACTAAATTAAAGCAATGACTCCTCATCAAAAAATTCATGATTATTTATCTCTAACTCATCAAAACGTATATCTATGGTTCTTTCGTCAAATCCTTCAAAACTATCGTTAAAATGAGTCATGTGCCACACACGTGAGGCTAAATCAAGGAGTAAATATGGAAAACAAAATAATGGTCATTCCACCATGTTCCAGTTTAACGAAAGTTCTGACGAAATTAACGAAAAGAATCATAGTTGTACATTTTGATAAGTTAAGGAGTAACGGTCACGGATTTTTATTGAGAGGCTAACGCTTCAATTAGATTAAAATTAAAGAACCATTACTACAATTTTCTCAAACTATATTTCAAGAACAAGAAGAAAAACTTTGTACTTCTTATTATATGCTACAACATATATAAGAAACGAAGTTAGACAAATCAAGCCGATTGATAGAAATATACATATAGCAATTTTGTCCCACAAAAGCTTTGTTCGTGCATGTGCCAACGTTCTAAAAAATGATGTTATTATCGTTTATTCACCATTTCCAATGTAAAAACTAAGTTGTATCATTTTGACGCATGTTAAGCTAGTCACTATTTTTTTTGGTTCTTGGCTTGAAGGAACGTTAAACTTTAGCGTCTATTAATATAAAGGGACGAACCTTCGACATGTGACAAATTTTAGTGTGGCAGGGCCCTATTTTATAATTGTCTACTATGTGACATTGCAACATAAAATGTTAAAATGTTATGGTATTCTTTCCAATCTCGACGCATTTCACCACTTCACCGAAAATTCCTCTGCTCTTACCATACTTTAGCTTGATGGTTTCCACCGTCTATCCAGTGTTGAGCCCTGGGAGAAGACCAACTGAAGAACAATCCTCCCTCGCTCTTTCTCTCTCCCCATTCCGTTACTCTCCCGCTAACAACTTCCATGAGTTCCATCCCATCAAACCCCCCAACGCGCCAAACCCAACGTCACCCAGACCACATCCAACGGCCTAAGAATCCCAACTTCAACAAACTAAAAATACATCCAACGCCCCACATTAAAAGCTCAGTACCCACCCAATCAAAACCCCTCATTCCAAAGTCACTGCTACTCCGGTCTCCCACGCGCCAAGACAAACGCGCGTGAAGAATCCGCCGTGCGCGAGGTTATCGCTTTCATGCAGCAGAACGCAAAACTCAGCAGAGCCAAACGACGTCCACGCGTCCGCAGCGATCTCTGTAATTATGAGATTACAAACAAAACAAATGAAGAATCAAATTTACCCAACGGTAAATTCTAGACGGTTGTATGGGTAAAACGGTCAATACCATAGCAGTACATATGTCTACTGCGGTGAATAGTGTGTGTGTTTTTGGTGGAAGCTGGGGATTTTAACTGAGTGGTGATTTGTATGGGAGTGTGAAAAGAGTGAGCTTTTTATCGTTTTTCTTAGAGAAGATGAGGAAGTACTTGGGGAAGAAGCAAGTCCAAAAAAAGCCAGAAAGCAAAAGCACTTTTTTTGCCAGACATGCTCTGCCCTCCCCTGCTTCTGCTTCTCCTTCTTCCTCCCCAGCTTCTTCGCCCGGTACGTACTTTTATCAAACACCTTCTTCATCTCTTCGTCTTCCTTCTTCTTTTCCTGATAATTTCCGTTTCGTTTCATTTTTTTTCTCTGATGTTCTGATCTGGTTATTTTGCAGATGCTATCGAGCACATTAAAGTCGGATGTTTCTACCAAATCGACCAATCGAAGCTCCATGAAAGAACCGTACCGGAGCAGCTCAAGGACGTACGGATCGTCATGGTACTATTTCATATTTTCATACACATAAAACCCACTGATAATTTTCGCCATTGTTGTTGAATCTCGTTCATCTTTTTCAGATTTTTCTGGGGTTTTGATTTGGGGTTGTTTGATTTGTATACAGGTGAGTGCGAAGGGTGCGTTTAAAGTGGCAGTGCGGTTTCCGAGCCTTCACTCTCTGCGCACTCACATCAACGAAAATGGGTACCCAAAACCAGATGCCAAGCAGATTCCGGCGCTCGACGAGAAGTACGTGATGTCGCCGGATATGGCATCAGAGGTACTTTACCGGAGAATCCCACCTCAGGAGATGGTTGATCAGAGCAAAATTTGGAGTTTCTGGGCCATTCGACCTCCGTTGAAGAATCACGCGAGATGCTCGTCGTCGAGCCCAGCAATCAGTGGCGGCGGCGGAGCCATGGATAGTAGCGTGGTTTCTAGGAAGGGCCCGTGTTCGTCCGAGCTCGCATTTGCCGGAATGGTGAAGTGGGGCAAGCGGCGGCAGATTCGCTACCTTCGCAGGCACGAGTCGTCGCCGAGCTCTGGCTCTGAAGATTCAGAGAAGGAAAAGAAGGTAATGGAGCTGGAGGACGGTGACGAAGAAGAAGGCGAGGAGACAGAGGAAGAAGCTCATCTTCCTCCTGTTCTGCCATGGAAGATGAACCTCCGGAATCGGAAGCGGAAGCGCCCTGATAACAAGAGAAATATCAAAGCTCCGACTCTGAAGCGATCAAAATCCAGAGCAAAAAGTGCGAAGCAGAATAACCAGATTGTAGCAGTTCCTGATCGCAGCAGCAGAAAATTGGCTAAAGTTAAACACACTGTAGCAAGATGGTCAGCAGGAAGGTGAGATTAAGATAATCATATCATTAATTGGGTTTTTATTAATAGGTTAATTATATTTAACTGGGTCGATTTGTTTTTGTAAGATTTTTGGTTTTGATAAACGTGGGTTATTTTGGGATTTTTGCAGGTACAAGCTGGCGGAGGAGAACATGTTGAAGGTGATGAACGAGAAGGGGGCGGCGATTGGGAACCCAATACGGAGGCCGGCGCTGAGAGCGGAGGCTCGGAGGCTGATTGGGGACACGGGTTTACTGGATCATTTACTCAAACACATGGCGGGCAAGGTGGCGCCTGGCGGGGCCGAGAGGTTTAGACGGCGGCACAACGCTGATGGGGCCATGGAATATTGGCTGGAGAGTGCTGATCTGGTCCACATCCGAAAGGAAGCTGGGGTTCAAGATCCCTACTGGACCCCGCCGCCGGGGTGGAAGCCCGGCGATAGCCCCACCCAGGACCCCACTTGTGCAAGAGAGATTAAGGAGCTCCGTGAGGAAATTGACAAGATTAGAAGGTAGTTAATCGCGTTTTTAGTATCTTAATCTGTTAATCATGGTATTAATCTGATTAATTTATTGGCTAAAACTGTTTGTGATATTCTCTGTGGATTTTTATAGGGAGATGGAGGAGTCCAAGCAGCAAGGGAATGCCGGTTTGGCTATGGCGACCTCTTCAAATTCTTGTTTGACCGGTGTTGACTTGGATCGTGATGGTTCGTTAATCCAGATTAAGGTTGTAATTTGTTCGTGATTAATTTTTTTATTATGGTTGCTTAATCTTGATTAAGTTGCCTAATTAGTGTTTCATGGGGTTTATTAATTTTGCAGGAGGCTTGTGCAGAGCTAGAAAAGAAGATAGCTAAAATGGATGAAGAAACGATGGAGTTTGTGACCAAAAAAGAAGAACAAATGGTGGAGTTTACTCAATCTTTGTCCGGAATTAAGGTAATTAATTGCCCCCTAATCACCTTAAATATGTCTGTCTTAATTGCTTATAGCATTGTAATCCATTGATTTATGGAGGTTTAAATGTGAATGCAGGAGAAAATCAGGATGTTTGAATTAAGGAAGGAAGGTGCAGTCACAATTTCAGGAGCACCACCGCCATCTGAAACAGCATCAGCCGCTGAGAAGAAAGAAGAAGATAAACTAAGCGGCGGAGACACGGCGGCTGCGGCGGCGGAGGACAAGGCGGCAAAAATAGATAGGCTGAGGAGTGGGTTCAGGATATGCAAACCACAAGGTAGCTTTCTCTGGCCAGACATGGGCAGCCCCACCAATATTCCCAGTCCTTCTTCTCAGGTTCTGGCCCCACCACATGACCCCTTTGTGGTTCCCACCCCACCCTCATCCACCTCCTCCGCCCCCGGCCACCTCATCAGCCCCACCACTCCACCTGTGAAGCCGGTAGCTGAGCGGGGCCCAGTGACCACCACCACATTGTGCAATGTGACCACAATACCCTCTGCCCCTCCGATTTTCGCTCCTCCACCTGTCCTGGCCCCACAGCAAACTCAGAGTTCCACTACCATCATCATCAGTAAAACCTTACTCTTAAACCTCAACGAGCTCCCTGCAGTTGCAGCACCAAACCCTAACCCTAACCCTAACCCCCAAACCAGCTGTGAGGCTACCGGGACTGTCACCACCTATAACAGAATGCACCACCACCATCTGCCACGTGTACGCCGCTCACCACCTTCTCAATTAATCATCTCCTCAGTCTTAATTATGTAATTAAATTTAATCAATCACATTTTGTTTCGTTTAATTGTATGGAAATGAATACACAGATGGTGGAGGAGAAGGAGGAGGACGACGGAGATGCAAGAAACGGTGATGATTGGTGTGCCTCTCCTGCTTCCACGTGGAAGGAACAGAAGTGGTTGATGGCTTTGGCTGTGGGAACTCCTGGCACTTCTTTGGAGGGTTGATTTTGGACCGTTGGATCAATCTTGCAGCAGGAGCTAAATATATATGGGATATACTTTATAGGGCTACTTTATAATTGTATGAAATTGGCGGGTATAGAAATAATTGTATCTAGGTATACATGATTATTAGGGATTTTACATTATAATCCAAAATATTTGGTTTTTTGCGGAAATAGCTGATTTGCCGCTTTGGGCACGTATAGTGGTGGTTTTTGTCGAAGTGCGAAAATCAAAAGGTGGCTATTAGCATTTTGGTGTCTCAAGATTTCACAAAAAAAAAAAAAAAAAGATTATAAAGCTCCTCAAACAAAAAAATCTACAACTAGCTGAAAATAATATAAACAAAATAGCAGAGATAAACTGGTAAATAATCATAACTCAACAAAAAAACTGTATTGGAAAACTAAATAAATAAATACACGGAGAAGGCACAAGGAGAGATAAACGTGAACGTGCAGGGTGAGATTTACTCTTTGTAGATATAACATGAAATGATGGGATTTACCCTTTGTAGATATAACATGAAATTTTACATACGCTTTATGCATGTATAGGTAAAAACTTAAAAAGAAAAATGATCATTTTTCTAGCTTAATGTGGTTGTTCCTACTTTTTTAGGACAAGTTGCTTCTAATAGACAAGGTTTTAAGTTTTAACAGCTAATGGAGATACCGAGAAGATGTGATCGAACAAAAAGATAAGGTTCCCAACAATATTGTTGTCTCTTGCCTATCGTTTTGAAGAGAGCACAAGAGTATCTTTCAAATATTGACATATTAGACCCTCAAAACAGAATCATATGTAAGGACATGCTAATACATGTTTTTTAATCTATCAAGATAGAGAGTAATATTTTTCTTAGTTTTATTCTTGGCGTATGTTAAATGTGACAAATGTGTAAGACGTCCGTTACGCGCATATTTAATAAAGGCTCTCACACACATTATATAGCCAATTAAAAGAGAACTGAATGTATTTATAAATCAAATAAAATCAAAATGGAGAAAAAAGAATATGAAAAAATGAAGGACATGTAGAACAAAGAAAAACCTATATTAAATAAGGCAACATAAATAGTTCATTAGCATACCTTTATAGCTTTTGTTTTACATGTAGAAAACACATTGATAGAAATAAAGGAAAACCTCAAATAACACGGATTACGTATTTTTTTCATGGCAAGTTTTTAGAATGTGCATGATAAAGAAAATGTATTTTCCTTGCACAATACATTAAAAATATATCTGGACAATTACAATAAGAAACAACTAACACAAGCCATCTTTAGGGACGCGCCTGTGATTAAACGTGCATGCGGAGAGGCTAGTGTGTAATAAAGGCAATGATATATGGCCTTTTTATTAAATTGGTGAAGTTTTTATCGTTGTGATTCTTGGCGGTCCATAGTAATTATTTTAATTTTATTAATTGAAAATGAATCGGGTCGTTATCGGATCATACTTTAAGAATTCGTTAATGCGATGGTGTATTGTGTGTTGCAATATTATTACTGGTAGGATCCTATGTTTTTTTTTTAAACAATAGTACATTGCGTTGTATTATTATTGAATCCAAATACTATCCTTAAGCTCCTACAATTTATGTGATTGAGAATTAGGAGGGAAAATGATTTAAAACTAATTGAAATTAAGAAGCAATTAACCCCAACCAATCTTGTCATTGTGTTAAGATTAAGGAAAGGAAACAAGAGACTTTCCCGGGTAAGGGCTGGCTAGTGCCTAGTTGAGTTGGCAACTTGGAACTTTGGAAGTGAGTCCAAAAGGATAAGCTCTCTCAACATAGAGTTCGTTTGGATGTGAGCGTTTTTGGTGAAAATATTAGACACAACAAGAACAGTGGAAACTAAGCTAAGCATCAAATGATCAAGTAACATTGCTTTGCTACAGCAGAACATTGACCTTAACAAGTCTGAACGTACAGTACAAAGTTTGTTCTTGTCGAATGTTTCCTCATCTTCCCTCCTCGCCTTAACACGCGAGCGGAACACATGATCCAAACTGTTTCAGCACAAACGGGTGCAGAACACATTCAGAATTTGATTGAAGCTGGTGAAGAATGAAAACGTTAGAAACTACAGTACTGATTAGTCCATTGCAGAAAGATGAAGATGAACCTGGTGCGGGCAAATTGCAGGATGATTACGACTTTATGATAGAGGGAACATGATGGGTTTTGTGATGGTATTGTCCTCGCAGACGATCTATGAATCTTCCTGACATCCCTTGGAGCTCCAACACTTGGAGAGCAGTTACATACTTCATCCCTTTATGGAGCTTCTGTTGGAAAACTAGGAGTATATAATATTAACAAGTATCCCAGATTACATATATTCAACTACGTGCGATACCTGAAGTAGCCATGCTTTTGGTTGGAAATGCAATTCTTCTACTTGTTTAAGACCTTATGTTCCAAAGGTGATAGAACCCTCATTCACAGAACAATTCTTCACAAGCAGGGAATTGGATTATATAGACACAGGCCTCATCTAATTTCCATCTATCGTGGAAATCAGTTACCTGCTGTTACCGGCAGTTTTCACCGAGTAATGGATAAGCAGTTATCATTTGCTGTATGTTATCCATGTATCCTTGCTTATAGGAAGCAGTTTTTCCACGTATGCAACTTACATCAGATTGTATTGTTACCAAACACATTCCTTCACTAAATGATAGTTTAGTCCAATTAAGTTTCTAACAGCTTCCGTATCCACTTATGGTTGGTGATGCAGACTTTTAAAATTTGGCATTGCACTTTCTTCAACTTCTAACTCTTCCAAATTTTCCAATAATTCCAGCTCCAAAAGCTCGACTTGGAGCAAACCGTTGGCAGAGAATTTCAGTTTCTTTCCATAGGATTGTTGTTAAGACAAGAATATATGATACAAGATCGACTGATTGAGATTTGGTGGGAATTAAAACCATTGGAGAGGTCTTGCAGCTATCTGCACAAGAATCTCTGATATTTCCATCAGCCGCGAAGCATATGGCATTAAAACCATTGGAGAGGGAGCAAATTGATGCAGCAGGAACTCGAAGAAAGAAGATGGAACTTAAGAAACACAAATTACCAAGCTCCGTTTAGTCTACGAATACCTGGAACAACGGCAAATGTCTGTTGAATTCTAGGAATGCCCAGACTAAGAGTAAGATTCATGACATCAACTGAGAGACGAGATACAAAACCTACCGTTACCACAAGAATTCCCACCAAATCTCAATCAGTCGATCTTGTATCATATATTCGCACTTTGAGAGTAAGCGCCTTGAGAATGAACACGTACCTCTTTACAAATTCCCATCTCTTATAGGCCTCGATCTTGAGAATGTATGTGTCGATGAGGTCTTCAGCGTCATAAGCAGCGTTTCTGATATCAGAAACCCAATTGTGCACCTGCAGATCTTTGCATCGGCATCTTTTAAGAAGCACTGCATCAGCTTGAGCTTGTATCTCAACTGCTGCATTTGGGGGCGAACATCCTTGGGAAGTTCGATTTTAGCAAGTACATCAGCTACCCTTTCTAAAACGAAACAAACAGCAGCTTCTGCCGCGTTACGTTCAACAGGAAAATCAGAACAAAGATAAAAACCAACAACTAATTATTTGGATGATTTTGCTTCAACCCAGTTCCCATTAAGTCATGGCATTGCAGGTGTAGGTTTTTTTTTCCAGGAAGGTTAGAGGAAGCTTGGTGTAGTCTATCACTGTCAACTTGCTTTCTTCTTTGTCGACATCAAAATATGAACTAATGAAAGAGCAACGAAAGGACACGGAAAGGCCACAAAAATAGTTTCACACGGCATCAAGATAATACAGTGAACTTTTCTAGAAAACTGTCACCATCTTTCTTTTGTTACAGTTTCAACATCTTTCTAAGAAAAAAGAGGCTACTTTGATAAGCATATAAAATTATTGGAAAATTCATCGGCATCTAATTTCTTGACAAACACTATGATATCTTGATATGTGAATTATACAAGGCATATATGGATATTCAAATTGAATAAAAATCAGAAAATGAAATTAAGTATGGCTAGAATTACAATCAATCTTGAATGTTTCTTGAGCTTAAAGCAAGCTATACGTGACCATCGTTCGACCCCTGCAGCTTCTTGTTGCAGACAGACGCAGTCTGCACTAGTTTATCTTTGGTTGTACACTCACCGCGTCACCCCTCCCCCACCCCGCCCCAAATCATAGAACGAGTGGAACACATGATCCAAGCTCTTCTGGGAGAAACCTATGCAGAACTTTTTTGAACCTGATGAAAAAATAAAAGTCAGAAAATTTGTTCACTAGTCATAAGTTATTAGTCTTCTGCATAAAGATAAAAGATGACGAAGATGAACCTGGTGTAGACAAATTGCACGATTATGACTTTATGATAGAGGGAACATGCTGGACTTTGTGACGGTCTTCTCCTTGCAGCCTATCTATGAATCTTCTTGGCATCCCTTCGAACACCAACTCTTGGAGAGTAGTTAATGACTTAATTTCTTCAGGGAGCATCCATAACTTTTTGCAGTAGGTGATTTGCAAACTCCTCAGCTTCGGCGTTGCACTTTCTTCAACTTCCAACTCTTCCAAAGAATCCAAGAATTCAAGCTCTAGATACTCGAGTTGAGGAAAGCCGTTGGCAGAAAATTTCAGTTTTTTTCCACGGTAAGAAGAATGTTTTAGTCTAAGAACAAATAGATAAGGCAGCTTCTCAAGTATCTCCAAAGGATTGTTTTCAAGACGGGATTGATGCAAGATCAACTGGTTGAGATTTGGAGGGAATTCATGTGTGTTAGGTAGCTTTCTTATCCCTCCACTCAGATGCAACTTAAAGACAGAGCGAAGACAAGAAAGTGCAGAGAGTGTTGGAAACAAAGTATCTATAGACGTTAAGGACAAGGAGTGGAGGTTCGGAAGATTGGCTAAGGAACCAAAAATCTCTGCACTGGTTGTGATGATGCTTCCAGTCAAGCTCAACTTCCGAAGACTGATTAAATTGGCAGAGTTTATTCCTCTCAAACTATCAACATTTATGCCTGCCAAAGTCTGGAGGTCTTGGAGAGTGTCAATTCGCAACTTGCCAGTGAATGGAGGAAGATACATGTAGAGATGGCGTAAGCTTTTCATCTTCCACAACACATCAGGAACCCTCATAATCTTGACATTTTCAAGAATATCAAGAGTCTGCAAGTTGGACAACCATCCTATTTCTTCTGGAAGCGAGCCTATAGAGCAATGCCTTAACCCCAAGTACTTCAAATGGATCATTTCTCCGATTGCTCTTGGAATTCCCCATGACTTCACATCTTCTAATTCCAGGACTCTAAGGAGTTTAAAACTTCTGCAGACATGAGAAAGCGAAATTTCACTTCCAATTTGTTCAAACTTAAAGAAGAGGAGTGATCGGAGGTTTGGAGTTGACTCATCCAGGGAGGAAATATAGCCGGAGTAGACAGCATGATGACGGGCTCGAGAGTGAGAGCATTGTAATGGCTGAAAGATACTGCACTTCAGATTCGAATGAATATAAAGAAATTCCACTGACTTAGCCTTTGAGATACAGAGGTCTCGCATTAAGTCGTGCAATCGGCAGTGTTTCACCCTATCATTTGCACTCAACCTCGCTGCTTGAACCATGTTTCTATCAATCAGCTCATTCAGATATTCCTCTGCAAGTTCCTCCATCCTTCCATCGTAATATGGGATCAAGCCCTCTGCAATCCATAGCCGAAAAAGTTTACGTGCAGAGAATAAGTAGTCCTCAGGAAATAACCCCAAGTAGAGAAAACAAAATTTAAGGTAATAAGGCAAGTCATAATAGCTCAAAGCTAGTATTGCCGATACAGCATTCGGACCACGGGCTAACAGTGCGCTGATGGAGTTCAGAACCCTTTGCCATTCACTCAGCCTTCTTTTCCTTGAAAGCATGCCCCCCAACACAACGATGGCTAGCGGTAGACCAGCACATTTCTCCACAATTTCCTTTCCGATTTCCTCCAATTGTGGAGTACACATTCCCTCAATACTTCCAGTGAATGCTTTTCGGCATAACAACTTCCAACTGTCCTCTTTGCTACGAAATCGCAGTTCATGGGGAAGGCTCTGGGTATCGGCATGCAAAGCGACATTGTTGTTGCGAGTTGTTAGAAATAATTTACTTCCACTGTGATTGTTCGGGAAGACCTTTGCAAGACTGTCAAAAGCGCTGGTGCTCCATATATCATCTAAAACAATCAGATAGCGTCTCCCTTCCAAAAGTTTATAGAGCATTTCTTCCAACTCGTCTTCTCCCAGCTTCGCCATGTCTTTTGTTCTTGTTGAAACTTGTTTTATAATGCTCTGCAGTACGTCTCTTGTTCTGAACTGTTGGGATACATAGACCCAAGCACGGCGATCGAAACAAGTTTGAATGTCAGCATGATTATAGACTTCCTTAGCACAAGTGGTCTTACCGATACCACCCATGCCTACTATTGAAATTGCACGCCACTGATCCTCCGAGACAAGTCGTGCAACCAGAGTTGCTATATCTTCCTCCAGACCAACAATATCCTTATCCTGGCCACGAGGAGTTGATCGCCGCAGCTTCAGTAGTCCTTCATTGGCATGACTTGTTCCTTCACCAATACTTCTTATGTTGTATGCCTCGTGGCTGATGGAAACGTCAGAGATTCTTGTGCGGAGAAATACAAGGTCTTTCCCAATCTTGGAACGGGCCTTGAGAGTGGAAACATATCTCTTAACAAAGTTCCATTTCTTGAACTTGTAGGATGAAACTTTGAGGATGTATGTGTCAATGAGGTCTTCAGCATCATAAGCAAGATTTCTGACATCAGAAACCCAATTGCGCACCTGCAGATCGTCTTCTTGCTTTGCATCTGCATCTTTTAAAAAGCACTGCATCCGCTTCAGCTCATCTCTCAGCCGCAGGATTTCCGGGCGAACATCCTTGGGAAGTTGGATTTCAGCAAGTACATCAGCAACCCTCCCCAGAACAAAAATAACAACAGCTTCTGCCATGTTACGTTCGGCAGAAAACCAGAGAAGCTAATAAGAATTGCAGCTTGTTGGGATGGTTTGGCTTCAACCCATTTTCCTTTTAAGCTCTTAACATTCTTGGTTGCAAGGCAGGACAATGTTTAGTATTTTCTACGAAGCTTAGGGGAAACTTGGTGTGGTGTCTGTCACTGTCAACAAACCAAACTATTGGCGACGCGGAGATGAAGACCTAAATGGCGTCCACAAGTCTTCTTCTACCTTTCGTCAACATCGTAACACAAACTCAAATCATGCACCTCTACCCCAGTTACCACACAAGGAAGGCCAAGGAGATTAAGTTAAATGGGGTCTTCGTCTTCAAATAACTAGATGGGGAAACCAGCAAGCATATACCGACCATTTGACTTGCCGGTCAAGCTAATAAATTATTATAATATTTTTGAACCCTTCCATAACATGCCATATTCAAAGTGTTAGGCATGCAGTGATAGGCAAAAGCAATAGGCATACAGTGTTAGGCCGAGACCACCAGAAGGGTGCCAGGCCAAACCACTAGAAGAGTGCTATAGTTAAACCACCAGGTTAATAAATCAAAAAAGCATAAAGAAATGGATTCTTCCCGGATCCATTTGTCCTAATCCACCAAATTTAGAATTTGGACCATTGAAATTTGATCAACGGTTAAAGTTATTAAAGCTTTTAAAATATACTTCTATTTGTAGTCGTTAAATCAAATTTTAATAATCCGAATCTTCAAATTTGATGGATTAAGAGGAAGTGATCCCTTTCCAGAAAAATAAAAGTCACGACTTGTCTTTGTGTGTCAGAACATATCTGTAAAGGAAAAGAAAAATAAGGTAGTATGTCCTTTTTGACTTTTGAAGGAGCCGAAAGACAAAAAGCAAATTGGAAAAAGAAAGGAAGCAAAAGGGAAAAGATGCCCTTTGGCCAGGCTGCGGCAAACAAAGAAAATATAAACAAAAATACTACTCTATTTGTACCAATTTGATGCTCTTGTAGAGCTTACATAAATATCGTATATGCCCAACTTGATAATTGATTCTTAAAAAACTTTACTAGATATTTTATGAGAAAAAAAATCAGCTAGCTGCTCCTCTGAATTCACAAACGATATATACGCAACCTTCCTTTCAAGATTTTCCTTGACAAAATATCGATCAACTTTCATGGTTTGTTCGATTATGTTTACTAGATTATCTGCTATCTTTCTTGCAGATTTATTGTCACAATGTAACTTTATAACCTTCTTTGACAAATTTTTAATTGCAACGAATTCTTTAGTATGGTTCCTCTAAATTATGGTGTTCAGCGTGTGTGTTCGCCCACGCATACTAACAAAAGTAAGACATTAACTATATTTTTGCATCACTTAAGTCCATCCATGGTCTCACCCTTGTAGAAGAATTTCTCTTGCTTACCTAATGTGTTACTGCGAAAATTTTCGATCCTATTTATTAAGCAATATTGAAAGCGAGGAACTCGAACATACAATATCGAGTTCATAAGCGAAGATTCTTAATTACTTGAGTTAAAAGTCATTTGTTTGTCAATTTCGTGTTGTACATGAAAATTTTTAAATTATTTAGTTATTTTATAATTTTGATTTTAAACTTTTAATTGGATAGGTGTGTATATAAAGTTTATTTTTCAAATAAATATTTATTTAGTTCTCTAGGAATACAGGAAAGGGATCCTCTCTGTATCCCTTCCACTAAATCCACCAAATCTACTAATCCGGACATTTGAAATTTGATCCAACAGCTAAAAATAGGGCTATTTTTAAAAGTTATAATAATTTTAGCCGTTGATCAAAGACCCGAATTGGTGGATTGGATGGATTTGATGGAACTCGATTTCGCATTTGCTTAGTTGTATTGGGCTGGGCCTAGGTCGTTAGTTTTGCCACCATTTGCTATGGGCCCATTCTCCTATAAATATTCAGAGACGAGTCGTCCCGCTCTCATTTCACCAAACTAAAAATTTTCGTCTTCGGAAGCAAACACACATCTCTCTCTGGACTCCCTCTGGCACTCGAAGCTTCTCCAATCTCAAATCCATGGAGGCTGCTCTTCCATCAAACCCTAACCCTCCTCCTCCAATCGAATCCCTAGATCCTCATCCCCCTCCTTCCGAAACCCTACCCTCCTACGATTTCAATCCCCCTCCTCCTGCGGAAACCCTAGCCTCTGATTCGAATGGCCCGCCTCAACCGCCGCACACTGAAACCCTAGCTTCCGATGCTCAAAACCCCTTCCCAAATCCCCAGATCGCTACTGAGAACGGTACTTCGACCGACGCCTGCAAGAAGCTTGCTATTACGAAGCCGCTGTTGTCGGAAAACGGCTTGACCAACACCAATAGCGGCAACGAAAGGGATGGCTCGGGCGGGGAGGAGGAGACGACCAGCAGGCGCCGCCGCCGCAGCCGGTGGGATCCTCAGCCCGAGTCGGAGAGTCAGAGTGGTGGTGGCGAGACGGGCAGTGGGACGAGGAAGAGGAAGTCGCGGTGGGCGGATGAGGAGCCGAAGGCGATTCAGCTGCCGGATTTCATGGGAGGTATTGAGTTCGATCCAGAAATTCAAGCTTTGAATAGTAGGTTGCTTGAGATTAGTCGAATGCTGTCTTCGGGTTTGCCCTTAGATGATCGTCCCGAAGGGGCTAGGTCTCCTTCGCCGGAACCTATATATGATAACATGGGAATTAGGATTAATACGAGAGAGTTCCGTGCCCGTGAAAGGTTGAACAAAGAGAGGCAGGAAATTATTGCTCAGATTATTAAGAGGAACCCGGCATTTAAGCCCCCGGCTGATTACAGGCCACCCAAGCTTCATAAGAAGCTTTACATACCGATGAAGGAATATCCCGGATACAATTTTATTGGACTTATCATTGGGCCGAGGGGTAATACGCAGAAGAGGATGGAGAAAGAAACTGGTGCAAAAATTGTCATTAGGGGTAAAGGTTCGGTGAAAGAGGGCAGGTCGCAACAGAAGAGGGATTTGAAACCCGACCCTTCAGAGAACGAGGACTTGCATGTTTTGGTTGAGGCAGATACACAAGACGCTCTTGATGCTGCGGCTGGGATGGTGGAGAAACTCTTGCAGCCTGTTGATGAGGTGTTGAATGAGCATAAGAGGCAGCAACTTAGGGAACTTGCGGCTTTGAATGGGACAATAAGGGATGAGGAGTATTGTAGGTTGTGTGGTGAGCCGGGGCACCGTCAGTATGCTTGTCCATCACGTACTTCGACCTTCAAGAGCGATGTTCTTTGTAAGATATGTGGTGATGGTGGGCATCCAACCATTGATTGCCCAGTGAAGGGTACAACTGGGAAGAAAATGGATGATGAGTATCAGAACTTCTTGGCTGAGTTGGGGGGGACAGTTCCTGAATCCGCAACTAAGCAGACCGCTACATTGGCACTTGGCCCAGGCAACAGTACATCAAGCAATCCTCCTTGGGCTAACAGTACTAGCAGCACTAGCAGTGCATCATCACATCCAGGCTTGGGATCAATTGGAGTCAAACCGGTCAAGGACTATGATGAGACAAACTTGTACATTGGATACTTGCCGCCTACCCTTGATGACGATGGTTTAATCCGATTGTTTTCAGCGTTTGGTGATATTGTGATGGCCAAAGTTATCAGGGACCGGGTTACCGGAGCGAGTAAGGGTTATGGTTTTGTGAAGTATGGAGATGTTCAGATGGCTAATAATGCAATTGCAAGCATGAATGGTTATCGCCTAGAGCAGCGAACCATTGCTGTCAGAGTTGCTGGCAAGCCTCCGCAGCCGGCTGGACCCCCAGCATCGGCAATGCCCACATACCCCGTTCCCCAGCCTGTTGCTTCCTATCCATCCCAGCAGTTTACCCCCAGTGGTCCTCTTGGGAATGCACCACCTACTAGCTATGCGGGTGCTCCTGTTCCTTGGGGACCCCCTGTTCCTCCTCCTTATGCTCCTTATGCTCCGCCGCCTCCACCTCCCCCGGGTTCAACCATGTATCCTCCTCCCATGCCGGGTCAACATATGTCTCCTTATGGTGCACGATACCCTCCTCCCCCTGGTGCACCACCTCAACCGATGACTTCAAATGAAGCACAACAGAGTTATCCCCCTCCAGGAGTTCAATCTGAACACAATGTCTCTACCCAATCTCTACAAACTAATTTGTATGGTGGCTCCTCAGCACCAATGCCACCAAACGGCCAACACACTTATCCTGCTGCTTCATATGGTTACTCATCTTACTACAATGCAGTTCCACCGCCTCCACCTCCCCCCGGCCCTGTACCTGGATCAACTGCAGATCAATCTCAGAACATTGGTAACGTTCCATGGGCCACGAGTGCTCCGGTTCCCCCTCCTGCTTCTTCTGCGGAAAAGACAACTTATGGTGCAGATGCAGAGTATGAGAAGTTCATGGCAGAAATGAAATGATAATCCGAGCTGATAGGTATGCAGTGCACATTTTTGCTTTAGTCCTGGTTATACAAATTATGTTTTGGTATTTTTGGATGTTTAGTTGTTCTGTTGCTTGGATTTTTTTATCCATTTGAAATAGCCGGGGTATTTCATTTATACAAAAATACTAACCTGTGTCAAAATACAAATAAATATCCAGCACTTCAACGATAGAGTCCATTACTTACAAGGATTTTAACTCACTCAGTCTCTCTTGCTCCCTCCTGCTCACTCTTTCTCACTTATTATTGGGGTGGGTGAATAATGTGTACTGTTTATTAATTTACTTTATAATTTTCCATTTTTTATTTTACACCGGGACTTCACTTGGTCTTTTGTATATATGAAGGTTGATTACAGCAACGGATGATCATACCATTGTTGTAAGTATGTGATTCCCCAGGAAAGTTCTGGATATCGATCATGGCTCTTGTACATTTTTTTTTTCTATGGTTCTCTTTTTCTTGAATTATGGCACTGGTTTATACTAAGGCGTGATGGAAGCTAACACGAGCCTTCTTTTCCATCCCATCGGGATGGAAATGAAGAAGATTGTGCATTTCTGTGTTTAATTGAATCAACCAAAAAGCTGCTTGTGCAGGGATGGTCTTCAGAGTTGCATGGCTAGGATTACATATATAATTTTCATTCTTATGCTTGAGGGACACTCATATCTGATTTTTCTATATTGTGCTGCATATGTCATTTATATCTGGTTTTGCAGTACTTGACCCTTCTCCATTGCCATTATGTAAAATTTTGACAGGACTGATGTTTCTTGGAGCTCTTGTGAACTGATTTCTTACCTCTTGCCATGACTTTGTTGAAGTTTGGGACTCACATCTTTAACCTTGCTGTAATGTTATGACCTTTGCAGAGACGTGGGCTGGAACTTCTGTTGATCGTTTCATGTTGGAGAAGTCATCTTAACCAGTATTATTCATTTTATTTTGGGTGCTTATGTTGGACGTAATTTTGTTATTTTTCTTGTTATTTATCTCTCCTACAAATTCTATTTACTAATTTCTCCTTTTTCAAATTTCTTCTGAACGTACACTAATTGGTACTAATGTTTTGTGATGTTATATTGGGTTGCATAACTAGTTTTGTTGATTGGCCTAACTGTTTTGCCTTTCTAGTTTTTATTGTAAACAAGTTTTAACCTTAAGGACCCTAAGCTTTTCCGCCTGCCATGGTTCTGACGCTGCTTCAGTGATGCGTTATCATTCCATTTTAAAAAGGTAATCATGCCTTGCAACTCGAGGCATTCTTGGTAGGTGGAAGATAATGTTGTCATGTTTTTGCTTATCTGCGTTTCTGTATAATACAGTGGGATATTGATGTCCTTTTCTAGTTTTCCATTGGCAGGTAAAAGAAATCATTCATGTATTGGTTATCTCTTGTTTTTTTGAATATCCAGAGTTTTGGTGGTGTATTTGGCTACTTCCATAAGTTTTACACTTGTATTGGCATCTTAGTAAAACTAACCCCTGGTCATAACCTAAATTATGAAGTCTTAAGTGTTGCAATGATTTGTTGAGGTAGAAAGTGGTCCATTTGGGCGAGTACGAATATGGTACAAATTGTTGCAAGTAGAAGAGAGTTTCAGGAAAAAATGAAATTGTGTTGGTTTTGGGATGAATGTTGGCGGATAGAATAGTTGATGGTAGTAGCTGTTTGTAAAAACAATCTTATTGAACTATCTCGATGAGCATTTGGGCGTAAGTTGGATTGTATATTTTGTATTAAGTTTGAATACAAGGGTGCACTGGGGCTGGAGGGAGTTGTTGACCATTGCCTAACGTTATAACCCGTGAACATGATTGGCTATTTGCAGGCGTTGGATGAGAAAATAACTCTATTTCGATAGTTGGTTTAGATTCTTAATTATTTCTTTCACTCAGCAGTTTAAAGCATGAGGGTTTCCTTTAATTTGTGTGTTTTTCGATTGCTAGGTAATTTTTTTTATCGCTTTTGAGGATTTTTCTATACAAGGCTTGCCCTCCAGATTTAAGTAAAGAGAGTAGTTGCATCTCCATTTTTCTCCCTCTTTCTTCTTTCTTTGCGTCTTTACTTTATATTCTTCTTATGTTTCTTTTTATATTATTTATTTGACAAACTATATTTTTGCCCCAAAGTCCTGGTTTTTTCAATAGCTTTTGGAACTCTGAGATGAAGTTTCCGTGAGCAATCGTTCCTTTTCAAACGGGTTTTTGGTACATTTCAACTAACTAGCAGCATGCAGAAATTTTGGTCCCCAACTTTTGCCTGGAGTCTTAGTTTGTTGGTTAGAGTGGGAAGGTGGTTTTATTCTTTCATTGTTTTGAGAGTTGTTTTGTTGGTAATTTGGTATGAGATACTGCTAATCCATTTTGTTGTAGCGACCACATCTCCCGTCAGCGGCGAATCACTAACCCTGTCTGCAGATGAGCTCGGACTTGGTTATTTTTCAGGCTAATTTATGCATTGAAGTTCAGTTGTGCTCAATGTGAGCACAGTAGTAGTAGTAGCAACCTTTCCTTTCACTATATAGTATGTACTCGCAGCACAAGAGAAGTTCTGAGGATCGTGAGCATTTACTTTTTACGACTTACAGAGGTATTTCGTTATCTAATTTCTTCAAAGTGGTTGGTGTTACTAGGTTTGACGGATCCTCATGGATGAAGCCACTAGATATCGAGTTCAAATCGTCCTAGGTTTGAGCTTTGATTTGGGAAAGAGGAGAAGAACCTGTGTTCTCTCTTGTTGCTGGTTTAGTGCTGTCACTGAATAGTCCAATTGTGATTGTGTATGCAGACATTTTACAATTGCAGCAATTTTAACCAGTTTCCAACAGTTTGTGGCTTTTACTTGTTCGTTCGGACCTCGTTTTGTTATTTCATTGCGTGCTCTGTTGAATTGGCCCTCCCATTTTTTACTGATACTATGTTTAGGCCTTCCTATCGGTAATGTAGATAGGTTTTGCAGGAAACGGTACGTGAAGTACCGGTTAGTCGGAAGCGGTATACGCTCTGTTTGAGGTCGGGGTTCGGTTCTTCCCTTGTTTCGTGTTGAGTGTAGGATGCCTCTATCTCGAGCACAAAAATTGAAATCTAAAAACATGAATGGTATTGGACTGGCCGTTCAAGAACTAGTTCATTGATATGTGCAAAAACTTGAAAGCTCTCATCGAGATGACGAATGAGATTGGACACGATGTGTTAACGATACAGCCGTTAAAACCAAATAGCTACTTGCAATTGGAATTTTAATCAATGCGAGTACCATTGGTATATATGGTTTCATAACATTTGAGAATTGAGACGATTTTTGTTACATGGGATATTCTAAAACTATTCTAATTTATGGCGTGAGAGATTTCCGATTAGTATTCGGTGCAGGGGGAAATTGGGGAATTCTAGTATTTTATGCACTTATTCATTTGGGTGTTAATTGAACCTAAGACTTGATGATCATGATATGATTATCTATTTTGGAAGTGTGCAATCGAATTTAAGACCATCTAATCGTGATACGCATATCCATTTGGATTTTTGCCTAACTTAAGACCATCTAATCTTAATACGCATATCTAATTGGATGTTTGTTGGATTTGAAACCATCTGATCGTAATATGCTTATCCATTTTGGATTAGAACCAAACCGAAGATAATTTTTTTTCTCAAAGGTAAGAATTTTATTAAATTCGAGTAGAGATGTTTACCTCAGAAGCTAATGTATTAAACAACTATTCAGGTGTCGCAAACCCTGTTACTACAGGTGTCTTGGGTTGTCCAATCATTGGGAACGTGATATATATAATTATTTTAGGGCTCCTATAAACTCTTCCAGATAGCAGCATTGTAAGCTCCATCTAGCCTCCTCGCAAGCGACCTCGGTTCGACACCAGCTGTCCGCAATTTTTTTTCCCCAATTTTCATTTTTTCCGTTCTTCTTCTCCGTCGAGAAAGCCATGGATAACGACGATCCCTCCGCCCGTCGCAGAAAGGTAACATCCAGCTCTTTCTCTCATCAAATTTCTTGTTCAATTTCACCATAACTCTATCCAGATCTGAAATTCTTGCTCTTCTTCTTTCCAGCGTAGGTTCATTCCCAAAGCCCAACCTCGCAAGAACCGCGAACCAACTGTTCCCACTCCGTAACTCTCATATTTTCACCCTCCAATTCCCTTTTAATTTCGTTTTCCGTCAAAATTCATAAGATTATTAGTTTTCATTTGACATTTTTGAGCTGCGAATCGATGCAGCGACGCCGACGCCGACGACGATGACGGTCAAGAAACTCGTCGGGCCCAGACTCTGCTAAGTGAGTACAAAGTAAATTTCTCTCATCTTTCAACTTTGTTTTCTCTCTTTATTGCAGTCCGTATTTTTTTTTCTTTCATTTTCTTGCTTTAACAATTTCTTATTTTTTGTATGTGAATTATTTATTCATTTGTTATTTCTTTCTAATTATCGTGTTTTTTTTAATTAAAAAAAAAACAGATTAAGCCGCTTTTGGCTTTTTTGAAAAGTTAGGTGAAGTCTTAACAATTTGATCATAGGGTGTGTTTGGTATGGTATTAAATTAGACAAATCCATAACGCGGAAATTTCCTCTTTTGGGGTTTGCGGTTTTGAGTTTAGACTTGCAAAATTACATTTTTCATTTGTCGGAAAATATGATGGATTGCACATGTGGGTTCGGCAAATTAGCGAAAAAATTGCGCCCGTCCTCTTTGCATCTTAAGTTCGAATCCTCTTTACTCTCAAGTTTGAGTCACCGTCCCCGTGTATAGAGGTAGTTTAGAAACAAAACATAATTCACGTTGTCTGCTTTGCCGCTATGTGCAGCTGAAATGTGGTTCTCAAGTGTATAACCTGGAATTACTCTTTCGTATGGTGTCTGTTTTGAAAAGGGTTAAGGGCTTGGTGTAAGAACACGAGCAGATGATTTATTTCTATCAGTTTTGTATAAGCATTAGCTGCACAGATGATTGATTTCTGTTGTTGCATTCACAGGAGAGAAGACGGGGGGCTAAACTCGAAAAGAAATGTAATTTCTCGTTAACTTTGCTTGCACGTTACTTGTTTTCTTTAGATTATCCTGGGTTTGCTTTCCGTTCATGTTTGCTGTTCAATCTGCAGCTTCAGTGCAAGTTGCATTTGGTCCCGGAGGAGCGGATGCATCCTCAACTTCTATCAGAACATTCGGAGCTGTAAAGGATGCCGATAGTGGCAAAAGCGGCAGCTTAGTTCTCAAAGGCTCTGATGAGGAGCAAAGTCTCCCAACTTTTCCTTCAGCCTCTAAGGAAGCTGAAACGGATGTAACTATGGAAGATGCTATTGATGCAGAACCACTTCAGATTGTCAAGAAAAATGATAGAGAATGTTGGGTTAGAGCATACGCCATATATCTGTCTCTACGTCACTCTATCTCTCTGTATTGTTCTCTCACAAACGCGTCTCTGGTGCTTCTACAGGATTATGAGAATACATACTATCCTACTACTCTCCCTCTCAGGCAACCCAACTCTGGAGACCCAGGTATTCTTTCTGAAAGCTGGAAAACAGAGGGTTTTCCTTGCGCAATTTGATGGCACTTTTAGTTTATAGTCAGTCTTGTAATTCATAGACCTTTTGTTTTGCTTTTAGAAATCCTTAATGCTAACGAATTTGGGGAGGATGCTGAAAAAGAGTATGATGAGAGCACGATAAATCCTGCTTCAAAACTCGGGCTGCTGGTGCGTATTAGATTAGTAACTTACTTCTGATGCAACAATGTTAAACGCTAAACAGAGTGATATATTTGATGGGATGTTGCAAAATTTGCTTGACAGGAGGAAAAAGTGAAAGCGAAGTTGTTATTCGTTCAACTTCCTTCCATTTTGCCATTGACGTCAAAGCCATCAGCTACTGCAAAGGGCAAAGAGAAAGTTGGAAGCTCAAAATCACTGGAGAGCTCAGGTGCTCCAAAGAAGGAAGGTAGTTTGGAAGAGTTGCCAGCCGGATTTATGGGTAAAATGCTGGTTTACAAGAGCGGAGCAATCAAGCTGAGGCTAGGAGATACCCTCTATGATGTAAGTCACAGCCATTAACTTTCCTTAAACTGAAAGAAAGCAGGATTATAGAAACTTCTTATCATTTTTGTCTGGTTATATATATGTTAAATCATTTCGTTATCAAGTTCAATAACGTTCGGTTTACTTACCACTTACTCTTACTGTTTCACAATCCATAGAATGATGATTTCGTGTCATCTGTCCGGCACAGAGTAGTTTGTCATCAGATTTCACCTCCTACAGAGTCCAAGCTAGATTCAAGTATTATGAGAACATAATGTTCATTTATGTGCTTACGATACGCAGGTTTCACCTGGTTCAGATAGCATGTCTGCTCAAGATGTTGTGGTAGCCAACACTGCAGAGAAGAAATGCATCGTTCTTGGAGAGCTGCGCCAGCGAGCTGTTGTAACTCCTGATGTGGATTCCCTCCTAAATGTGATTAGCATCGATTGAATGCAGGGATGTTACCAAAATCGTGCATATTGAGGTGTAAATGGGGGAATTATGCACATGAGAAAGCTGAAATGGTAGATATGTAGAGGAAAATCTTGAGAGTAAATATGATGCTAGAATTACTAATGCGGTTAAACTGTTTTATGTTTGCAATTTTGTTTAGTGAATCCATCTCTTTCAAGGATAACTATTTTTTTTTTACTGAATCCATGTGGTTACAACAACAACAACAACAAAGTCTTTAGTATCATTGAGATTCAACGTGAAAATGGAGGGCCGGCTATCGACAACCTAACGCCCTCTCCTCCTCCTTTATCTTGGCTTGAGACCGGCAGTGTAAAATAAACTTACACAGTTGTTTTGCACTCATCATAAGAGTATATTTTTTAAATATAGAACGTTTGGAGTGCACAATTAGATTTGTGAAGTGCGAATAACAATTCTCAAGCGATATTCTAAAATTTTACCGGGTAGGGAATTTGAACTTGGATAAAGAGTGATCAGATGTTCTTGGCCTTTCAAGTGAAAATTGCATAGTTGGACCTCAACCATTTGGTAATGACCATTCGAGCTGTGTTTTCGGTTGTAATTGTTGCCAAGAGACTGGGGTGGCAATGGAAAAATTAACAGAATCTCTAAAAAAAAGAAGGTAAATTAACAATATTAAAGAAAAAAAACATAGGTAATATCCATAAATCCCCATATTACAGGCAACCTGCAAATGTACCAGCACTGGAAGACCCTAACAAGCATAGTTTGAAACATAAACTGCCTAACGATGCAGCGGATTGGAAAACTTCAACAGCAAGTCATCCAATGGGGATACACAGCGTGATGTCGTCGGATTTAGGGTTAAGCCTTGTGGCTTCGAGTAACCACCACTATCAACAGGACCACAACAGAGAGCATGAACGATATTTTCAGCTTGTCCTCAAAGCGATTGCTGGCTTCTGCTTTCGCGTTTTCACTGCTTGGAGGTTGAAAGAAGCCGCCCATGACCTTTGTAATTTTCTCGACTGCTTCCATGACTTTTGCCATGGTATTTTGAAAGATCCACTTCACAATGTTTGTAGCTTTATCGTTGTTATCATCAGAATTCTCTTGTGAACTCTCGGAGCTATTGTCTTCATCTGCATATATGATGAAAAATTTATGTCGAAACCAGCATTAGTCATGACTGCGTTCATCGAACTTGTGAGCATTGACAAGGTATTTCATCTCTCAACTATTACAAGCTATAAATTTCAAGCTTATTGCTCTTAAGCTATAAATTTCACCTTATTTCATCACTGAAACACGCATGAACATACATTCACAAGAAACAGAGGCAACTAACGCCAGGAAAACAACACGTAAAAGAGGCTTCTACGATTAACAAATGACGCTCGTGAACACAATATGACACTTGTGAAATCCTAGTGTAATGTTAGACTGTTATAATTAGAACTCAAAAGTCAATTAATGATACTCCTTACTGAAATTCATATCACACCAACCTGCATAGAAAGACTCGCGGAGCTCGCGCACCACCTCATTGTTCATCACAGCATCCCAAACCGCTGTATCAGATGACAATGCCATCACCATTCTCTGCACAAGAAAATACACTTGTGACATAATTCTAAAAATTTCATCCTCTGCAAGACAAAATGTGAAAATAATATATCAAACACAATCAAGGGTCGAAATATTCTTTAAGTTTACATGCAGTATTCTGTTGGTATATGGTCCAGCCCATGATGAATGTTCTAGATTATTCTAGTAAGCAAGTGAGGTGGTTGGAGCATGCTAGACAATTCTAGCAAGTTATTAATTGGTGGAAGAAGCTAGAAAGTACTAGCTTCCTTGGTTGTAAATGGAAACATCTAGAAGCTACAATTTTGTGGCTAGTCTAGAATTATCTAAGTTAGAGGTTTGTAGAATATACTAGAAACTAGAAACTAGTTCTAGTTTGTAGAAGGAACTAGAAACTAGTAGAATGTCAAGCTCTCACCTATAAATATGGGTGTGATGTTGTAGTGATGTAACCAATCAAGAAAGTAGTGAGTAGCAAAGGATCAAGTCCAAAGCTAGAGTTCTGCTCCAAAAGTGAGAGTGAGAGTGAGAGTGTTCCACTATACATTGTGAGTGAAGTTTAGAGTGATAGAAAGTGTGTGTTATACTTTCTTGTATCCATCAAGCCTTGTCTTTGGCTTGGTAAGACTACTCTTGTTGTACTCATCTTTTTTCATATAGTGAAAATCGATCCTTGTTTTGTGGACATGGGCATAAATTGCCAAACCACATAAATTCTTAGTGTCCATTTTCTACTTTACTTTGTACATTCTCTATCTTGTAGTTCCGACAGACATACCGAACATATTCAAACCAAAATTCAGAAATACATTAGAAACAAAAACGAAAGATATTAAAGAAAGGAACCTGCACAGAAGACTCAGTCTGCAAGAGATGGAAAGCATCATAAACTCTCTCAACACCGTGAGACTGCAACATTTTTGAATTATTAGAAAGATAGGCAGAAGGCTCCATCCAATCTAATTCTGACCCAGCTGAAGGTGCTGGGTGCACAAACCCAGCAGGACTTGTAATTTGATCATCCACATCTCTGTCTGACTTAGAACCAAACTTATCCCTGATGAAGGGACTGAAAACCCTAATCCATTTCATCAAACAAGGCATGATTAGTTTAAACTACAACACTAGGCAGCTAATTAATCATTTTTTTTATTTGACAAGTTGATAAACTAATCTAAATTACGAGGAAGGAATTTAAAGTCGAATGCGATAGGTCATGCACGCCTGCCCTCGCCAACAAACCTGACCCATAACTGCCGCTGCCGGCATAAATTTTTTTATGATGCGATGATAAATTAAACTAATTTACAAGCATGGGCAGGAAAATTTGAATTCGAGTGCACCAGACAATAAAGACTTCTTTAACTAACTGGCCTAACTCGCATCTACAAATACATAAAATAAAATGACAGAAAGGGTTTTATTTATCAGAGACAAAGAGCATTGAGTTGCTTACTGATGAAGGGCAGAGACAGCATTGTGAACTTCATGCTTGGAAGGAACAGGTCCAAGAACAAAATCATCCATTAACCCATGTGAAAGTCTCTCATCATCCTCACTGCTAACCCCATTATCCACAGTCACCCAATCAAAATCATCAAAGCGAGGGGAAGAAGGCCAACTGGATGTCCCACAATTGGAAGCCAGAGGAATATTGCATGAGGAAAAAGGAGAAGTGGGTGAGGAGAGAGAGAGGTTGTGGGAAGAACTGGGCTTCTGGTTGTGCCTAGAAGTGGAGGTGGCGGTAGTATTTGTGGTGGTGGTATTAGCAGCAGCAGAACTGGAAGAAGAAGATAGGGGTTCTTGAATCGGTGGACCACCAGCAATAGTTCTGGTGACTGCTGCCCTACTCACAGCCTTAAACATGCTTCCTCCTCCACCTCCTCCGCCCATGCTTCTCCCACCAAACATCATTGACACAGAACTTTTAGGTTTTTTTTCTTACTCCTTTTTTAGATCTCAGACTGTGTATCTTTGTCTTCCTTCTACGTTATGTAAACCTAGGAGGAGCCAGGATTCAGTGGATTCCTTTGCTTGTCTGCCTCTGACTCCTGTTCTGTTGATATTCTCGAGGCCATGATGTGGATAGGTATATAAAATGGTTCAGAGTTTCATTGGCGTCACAAACTTCTTGTTAACAAAAGAAGGCTCCACGTTTTGGTTCCTTGTGGGAGGTGGCTTCCCCTTATCTTTCTGTTGGTTATTCGTTTGCTTTTATTTTTGGCGAAAGTTTATTCCTTTGCTTGGATGTATATCATTCATTATTTTCTGTTGTTATGTACATAACGTTAACCCAAATAAAAATACTTTATTTATAACATGTATGATCTTGGCCGGTTGATTGGGACAGTGAACAGTGAACTCAAAGTTCTAGTCTTTATTATATCGGAACAAATAGGGTCCCTAGAAATATTGAATCAAGTGGTGGATTATCTTGTTGGTTAAAACATCTTCTTCATTTTACTATATCTTGGTAAGAAGATTCTCTCCGAATTTCTTCCATCCAGATTCCTTACATGATGTACGTTCAACCGAAAATCAAATAATCATAAATTCATTAACTTTCATCTTCACTGTTCGTCTTCTTTCTCTTCTCACTCTCTCTCCGACTCTATTCTCCATCTCTCTCTCACTCTCCTCTCTCTTTATCTTCTCTATCCCTATTTTTCTGACTTTTTTTTGGTTGTGAAAACTTTTTGTTCCCAATGGCCCAACCAATTAGAACCCAGAAAATTTTGCACAAGTTCGGCCTAAAAATCACCACTAGGGAGGCCCAAGTTAGCAATGCATGTACAGAAAACGGGAGAACCAATGGAAAATGTTATAAAACCCTAGCTAGTTCCGAAAACCTAAATAAACGTCCAAGTTTTAGTATAAGAGACGAGAGAGGACGGAGGAGGTCGGTCCCTCCACAGACCATGGGTACGTTACTTTCTCTAATCTCAGGATTTTTTCAATCTGAACACGTCTCTTTTTCTCGGTTGCTCCATTTTACTAAGGCTGTACTTGATTGATTAATGATGCTACTGGTTTTTGCTGATGAGAAAAACTTGGCAAAGTTAAGAAAACATATGAATTTTGTGCTTTCCATTGCATTTCTCCCCAACCCATGAAAGTGGAACCTAAGATTTGCTCGTGTTCTATGGAATTATTATTTTTTGTTTCGTCGTTGCTTTAGTTTTGAATGTGATGTGTTTTAGTGTTTTGAAATATAATAGGATACTGCCAGTTAACGTTATGGAAGGGAGGCCATCCAATGTTATGAATACAACCAAAATGAAGATTCAGTCGACAAAGATGACTAGTGTTTGTTCCTTCTTTGGCCCTTCCTAGACAATAAGGGGGAGATTTTATTTTAGCTAGGGGGGAGTTTTTATTTGGTTGTATTCATTATGTATGATGGGGCGTTAGTATCCTGCAAAGTTCGAGAAGAAGGTGATCGACGATCGAGTTAATGTTGTTCCGCTTTCACTTGGAGACTGGAAAAATTGAGTAGCCAAGGCGTGGAGACAAAACTGCCTTCTAGTTATGGATGTATTAAGATGAGTTTTGTAAGTTTTTTTTTTTTTGTATTCATTCCTCTTAGTGTATCATGGCTTGGTAGCTTGAAGATTTTCTCATTGGCAGGTTTTGCCTTGTTAAATTTTACATGTACGTCCACTCTCTATGTTTCTACTAAATATTAATGTGTAGGATTTAGTCTACATAACTGGTAATTTAGACTACATTTTGAATTAGACTTTAAGCTTGAACATATTCACCCCTAAGTTAGATTGGTACCATCCAAGAACTTTCATTAAGGCAATTGTTTAACCTAGAAAAATGTTTGCATTGAATTTGAGTTTTTGGACATCCACATAGTTTTGAGAATTGAGAAGTGTCTCTCATTTATCACCGTTCTAGTGGTTGATGTTATACAATATCTTTTACCAAAGAATTTTGTGTGTACCTAAAACGCTATCACGTAGTACTACTAATTTATGTATTATTATATAAGTGAGCGACATAGTTGATATGTCACACTTTTTAAATATATTAATAATTTGAGTGAAATAGTAACATCGAGATGATATATATATATATATATATATATATATATATATATAAACGGGAATGTTACCCCTTTTAACTATCTCCTTGCAGGATCAACTGGATCTGCTTGAACTGTGAAGGGTGTTGGATTTGTGACCAAGTGGACAACAAGCCAAAATACCTTTCGGCTAATAAAATAGAATAAGGAAAAGGGGGACATCATTATGATGTCTAGCCCTTGATTTGTGGCTTTTACAAAGGCAAAGAATATGTAGCCGAAAGAGAGAAGAGGTGAGAGAGAAGGCGGGGCCTTTTGTTTATATTAAGGCATTTGGTTATGCCTTTAGAAAAGTGAGAGTGGGGGAGCGGCAGATGAGAGAAACCAGGGAGAGCATTCGGCTCTCCCATTTGAATATGAGCTGCTCCTTCCCACCATTTGTAATAATCCCATTTTGTTAGTAATCACTCAATCAAAGATGTTGGTGCTACTTGTGTAGCTTTTGGGTGAGAAGGATTTTGATATGTGTTTCTTCTTCTCCATTTATTTCTTAGTTTGAGTGAAAGCTATTGATTGTATGTGAGATTTGGGTTTGAGAGTTAAAACTCTATTTGTAATCTCCTTTTGATATTAGTGGAATTTCCTCGCCGTCTCGGAATTGGACGTAGGCTTACGCCGAACCAGTATAAATCCTTGTGTTTTGGATTATTTGTCTTGTCATATTTTGCCGTTGTAACTTATTGGTTTCATATTTGACGCTTCCGCACAACAAGTGGTATCAAAGCTCTGGGTTTCGACTTGGGGTTTTGTATTAGTATGTCTATGAAATCTTCGAATGACGGTGAAATATGTTTTTTTGAAAAAATTGGACAGGAGGAATGACTTTGGCATTTGGTCAATTGGAGATGCAGAGTTTGGCTGCAAAATGCATGGCGTTGAAGAAGGATAGTAAGGGACTATGCTGCAGTCACTGAGCTCGCAGATTGGAGAATGGTTTCGGAAACAACGTGTCTGCTGCAATGTTGTTGTCGATGTTGTTGAAGTGTTGGTGTTCGACGGCTGCAGGTGTAGTGTACTGCTTTTGGTGGGTTTTCCGTTGGTCATCGTTGCACCGGAGGTGTTTGTGGGCTGTTGTCGATGAGTTGAGTGGGAAGAAGAAAAAGTAGAAGCTGTTGAAAATTGGAAAGAAAATGTTGGTTCTTTTTCTTTCGGCATTTGTTTTGGCAGAAGGACATCATGATGACAAATGATGTTGTTGGTTGGAAGAAAAGGGAAAAAGGCTAAGGCTAAGTTTTCTTTTCTTTGGCATTTTTTCAATGGCAGAAATTGTTTGGTTGTTTTTTCACTCCCATTGGTTGCCTTTGGAGCAAGTTGCTGGAAACATTGGAGGAGTTTGTGAGGGCCAATTTGTTAAGTTCTGCAAGTTTGGATAGTGAGACACCACACTATTTTGGATACACCACTTGCACTGCAGAACATTTGTGTGGGACCCTCTTGTAGAAGGCAAGTTATGCTTTCTAACTTTGTTTGGTTTATGTACATTTGGTTGGATTTGTTTGCCACTGCTATTTGGTTTGTTGGTCTCCATCATCTGCAATTAGCTTTTTTGAAGACTCCAGTTGAGGTATGGTTTTGGATCTCCTACTGATTATTTGAATTTGAAATTTTGGTTGTCTTGTTGGTGCTCATGTGATGATGGTAAACTTGAGTGAAGGGCATATTTTTTGTATGTGGTATGTGAGACCTTGTTGCCAAATTTGTAATCAGTTTTGACTTGGAGAATGTGCCATGCTATGTGAATGAGTCTATTGGTGCAGTTTCAGACCATGGTGTTTATGAGCAGGTGGAGTTCGTTGTATGTCCAACTTTGGTATGGTGTGCTTGATCTTTTGTTGGTGATATTGAAGAATTTCAGTTCTTTGCTTGAATCACCTTTTGTTTTGATCAAGGCACTTATGGCTTGCAAATTTGGAGAAGACGGTAGAGAAATGGTCTACTTTTGTTGGCTTTGGTACAATTTGAGTCGAGGTGGAGACCATTATGAGTACCGAAAGTTTGGGAAATTTGATTTAGTTCCCGTTGTCTTTAGTTTGTACTTTGAGTGCTTATGGTGATTGTTGATTCGATTCTCTATGATGTTTTCGGAACTTGGTCAAGGTGGAGATTGTTGGATTTGTGACCAAGTGGACAACAAGCCAAAATACCTTTCGGCTAATAAAATAGAATAAGGAAAATGGGGACATCATTATGATGTCTAGCCCTTGATTTGTGGCTTTTACAAAAACAAAGAATATGTAGCCGAAAGAGAGAAGAGGTGAGAGAGAAGGCGGGGCCTTTTGTTTATATTAAGGCATTTGGTTATGCCTTTAGAAAAGTGAGAGTGGGGGAGCGGCAGATGAGAGAAACCAGGGAGAGCATTCGGCTCTCCCATTTGAATATGAGCTGCTCCTTCCCACCATTTGTAATAATCCCATTTTGTTAGTAATCACTCAATCAAAGATGTTGGTGCTACTTGTGTAGCTTTTGGGAGAGAAGGATTTTGATATGTGTTTCTTCTTCTCCATTTATTTCTTAGTTTGAGTGAGAGCTATTGATTGTATGTGAGATTTGGGTTTGAGAGTTAAAACTCTATTTGTAATCTCCTTTTGATATTAGTGGAATTTCCTCGCCGTCTCGGAATTGGACGTAGGCTTACGCCGAACCAGTATAAATCCTTGTGTTTTGGATTATTTGTCTTGTCATATTTTGCCGTTGTAACTTATTGGTTTCATATTTGACGCTTCCGCACAACAAAGGGTCTGTAAAACCAACCCATAAGAGAAGCAGTTGTAATGCTTTCCTTAACGAAAGTGACGGTTTATAAGGAACTTGGGAAATTCTTGTATTTGATGCACTTATTCATTGGGGTGTTAATTGAACGTAAGACTTAATGATCATGATACGCTTGTTCATTTGGATGTTTGCCGAACTTAAGACCTTCTGATCGTAATATGCTTATCCATTTAGGATTATAACCAATCCTAAGATTAGTTGATCATTAACAGTGTCACAAAGCTATCACTTTGTAATATGGTCTAGTGGTATTCCTTTCACTTGTAAGTGATAGGTCTTACTTATTAGGTTTGATTCTCACCAAAATTAAATTGATCACTTTATTGTTAACCCATTGTAAGACTAAGTCCACTCTCTCCCTTAGTATAGATAATATCGTTTGTTCAAAAATAAAAAATAATGTCACAAAGCCTGTTATTACAAGTATATTGGGCGAAATTTGACGAATTGAGTAGTATACGTACTGATGCATTAAGGACTTTTTATTAGCGTTACAAACATAACGCTACAAAGACAGGAACAAAACATGTTCAAGTCTCTTTATCTAATTTTATTAGTGGATTCCTACCAAATTTAGTTAAGTTATTCAAGCATTAGGAGCACGTATATATGCAATTATTTATCTCCAGCAACGTTGCCGGATGGCAGGGTGGTAAATTTCGTCTATCCTCTTCGGAAACGACCTCGGTTCGATACCCGCCTTCTGCATTTTTTTTCCTCCCAATTTTAATTTTTTCGTCCTTCTTCTCCGTCGAAAAAGCCATGGATATCGACGACCCTTCCGCCCGTCGCAGAAAGGTAACATCCAGCTCTTTCTCTCTCATCAAATTTCTTGTTCAATTTCACGATGACTCCATCCAGACCTGAAATTCTTGCTCTTCTTCTTTCCAGCATGGGTTCATTTCCAAAGCCCAACCTCGCAAGAATCGCGAACCAACTGTTCCCACTCCGTAACTCTCATAATTTCACCCTCCAGTTCCCATTTGATTTCATTTTTCGTCAAAGTTCATATCATTGTTAGTTTTTCATTTGACATTTTTGAGCTGCGAATCGGTGCAGCGACGTCGGCGGCGACGACGATGACGGTCAAGAAACTCGTCGGGCGCAGACTCTGCTGAGTGAGTACAATGTAAGCTCTCTCACCTTTCAGCTTTCAATTTTGTTTTCTTTCTTTATCGCTGTCCGTAATTTTTTTTTTTTTTTTTGCATTTTCTTGCTTAAACAATTTCTTGTTTTTTGTACGTCAGTTATTTATTCATTTGTTATCTTTTTAATTATTGGGTTATTTTTTATTTAAAATAAAATAATAAAGAGATTACGCGGCTTTTGGCTTTTGGCTTTTGGCTTTTTTGAAAAGTTAAATAACTCTGGTGGCAATTTGGTCATAGGGGTGTGTTTGGTATGGTATTAAATTAGACAATCCAAACTAAGGAAATTTCCTCTTTTGGGGTTTACGGTTTAGAGTTTCGACTTTTAATTTTCATTTTCGATTTGGCAGAAAAGGAGATGGATTGCACATGTGGGTTGGGCAAATTAACAAAAAAATTGTGCCCTTCCTCTTTGCATCCAAGTTCGAATCTTTCTTACTCTTCCTTACTCTTCCTTACTCTTTTAAGTTTGAGCTACCGTCCCCATATATAGAGTAGTTTAGAAATAGAACATAATTCACACTGTATGTTTTGCCTATATGTGCAGCTGAAATGTGGTTCTCAAGTGTATAACCTGGAATTACTCTTTCGCATGATGTCTGTTTTGAAAAGGGTTTGGGGTTTAGGCTAAGAATACGCACAGATGACTGGTTTCTTTCAGTTTTGTATAAGCATTAGCTGCACAGATGATTGATTTCTGTTGTTGCATTCACAGGAGAGAAGACGGGGGGATAAAGTCGAAAAGATGTTGCAGTCTCATGGTTCTGAGAGAGTTTACGATGCTTTCCATCTCTTGCAAACTGAGTCTTCTGTGCAGGTCCCTTTCTTTAATATCTTTATTTTTGTTTCTTATATCTGAATTTTTTGATTGAATAGTTCATGTACATTTAAAGAAATTAGACCGTTGATTCTGTTCGGTAAATTATTGTTACATTTTATCTTGCAGATGATGAAATTTTTAGAATTATAGAATTATGTCATAAAATGGGGTAAGGCTAGCCGACATTCACCTCTCCCAGACCCTGCGTAAAGTGAGAGCTTTGTGCACTGGGTACGACCTTTATAGAATTATGTCATAAGGGTATTTTCTTGTGCAGAGAATGGTGATGGCATTGTCATCTGATACAGCGGTTTGGGATGCTGTGATGAACAATGAGGTGGTGCGGGAGCTCCGGGGGTCTTCCTATGCAGGTTGGTGTGATATGAATTTCAGTAACGAGTATCAGTAATTGAATTTAGGGTTCTAATTATAACATTCTAACATTGCAATAAGAGTCCACGAGTCTCATATTGTGTTCACGAGCGTCTTTTGTTATTCATAGATGCCTCTTTTACGTGTTGTTTTCCTGGTGTTAGTTGTTGCTTATGTATGTATGTTCATACGTGTTTCACAAGTAAGATGAATGTAGTCATGACTAATGCTGGTTTCGACATGAATTTTTCATCATCGACGCAGATGAAGAAAATAGCTCTGATAGTCCACAAGAGAATTCTGATGATAACAACGATAAAGCAACAAACATTGTGAAATGGATCTTTCAAAACACTATGGCAAAAGTCATGGAAGCAATCGAGAAAGTTACGAAGGTCATGGGCGATTTATTTCAACCTCCAAGCAGTGGAAATGCGAAAGCAGAAGCCAGCAATCGCTTTGAGGACAAGCTGAAAACATCGTTCATGCTCTCCGTTGTGGTCCTGTTGATTGTGGTGGTTATTCGAACCCACAAGGCTTCACCCTAAATCCGACGACATCACATTGTATATCCCCATTGGATGACTTGCTGTTGAAGTTTTCCAATCCTCTGCATTGTTAAGCATTTTATGTTTCAAACTGTGCTTTGTTATGGTCTTCCAGTGCTGGTACATTTGCAGGATGCCTGCAATATGGGGATTTATGGATACGACCTATGTTTTTTGTTTGCGAGGGTGGGATGAACAACGTCTATTGTACACAACTTTACATTGTTTTACCTTCTTTTCTTTTTTTTAATATTAGTAATTACATGTTTTTAGATATCAATAAATTTTTTTTATTGCCACCAGAATCTTTTGGCAACAAATACAACCGAAAACACAACTCGAACAGTAATTACCAAACAGTTGAGGTTCAACTGTGCAATTTTCACTTGAAAGGCCAAGTACATCTCATCACTCTTTATCCGAGTTCAAATTTCCAGTAGATTTCAATAGTTTAGAACAGATTTTTTAGGTGTCGTAATAGTTTCCTATTGCTTTGTTAAACATATAAGGTTTTTTATGTCAAAATAATCCATGAGATTGACATAACTCTGCAGTTTTGGTCTCTAACATTGAAATTGGTAGAAGTACTCCCTGAGTTTGTTCAATATCAATCATTTTAGTATTTCCGTAAAAAAATCTCCGTTAAATGAAAAAGTAAGTGGAGCGGTTGATTGACAAAATTACCCGTAATTTAATAGAATTTTTTTATGGAATGACCAAAATGATTGACGATTGACAAACTTAACGATTTTCAATTGAAGGTTGTATTTGGTTAATTAATGATGTTATTACTGGTTTTGGCTGATGAGAAAAACTTGGCAAAGTTAAGAAAATGGGTGTGTTTTTGCTCACCACCCTCAAGTAGTGGAAATGCTCACCACCTTATTTATGAGTATAAATTTTGAGATTTGTATTGTGGATAGACACAAATCTCAAATTTAAACTAATTCAACAGTATTCAAGGTTGGAATCGTGAAAGAAAATTGGAAAGAGGATCTGAGAAAGACAACAGGTTCAGATCTAGTTCCGGAGGTAAGGGTCCACAGTGTTACGGTGCAAGGCCGGGTGGTAGCAAGTTTATAGCATAAGGCTTCGAGTATGCCCTCTAGGTACTCGAAGCAACACTTCTCCTGGTGATGTTTAGTCTCAAGTGTTGCAAGGGTTTTGCAGCAGGTGGAGCTATAGGATTCACAGGTGATGAGATGGTCCTGAGGTAGGAGGAAGTGTGGGAATTTTGTCTGGCTCAATGGGTTGTTGCTGGAAATAGGCGCACTGACGAGTTTCCAGGTTGTAAACAATGAAGAGGAGGAAAACCTGCTGGAGGAGACGAGGATGTGTCGAGATCCTGTCTGAAGCTAAATGGTGATTTTTAGCTTGCAGCATCTGTACATGCATTGGCAGTGACTGAATCGGAACAGGACCAACGAGGTTGATTCAGGGTGTATATGCTGATACGTAAGGCCAATGGAGACTTTGGCAATGGATGCAAGGTTTTTTGCATGGTATATTCGCCAAGGTGGAGATTGTTGTGTTTGGCTCATATACTTATGAGTTGGCAACAATTTTGATAGTGTAACTTTCTGAGTGCTATAGGGAAATGGCAGTAGCCACTGTGTGTTTGGCTTTCGGTTGTGGCATGGAAGTCTTGTTTCAAGAGAAGACATGGTGACTACCACAAACAAAGTTGGAAGCAAGACTTGACTTTGTGGTTGCTTGCACACAATTGTGCATGTTTTATTGTGCATGTTTTCTCTTCTATGCATTAAATGACAAATGGAGAAAAGTTGTACTTTATAGACTAGGTATAGACTTTGGTGCATGCTAGGTAGGCTAGGTAATAATTATGTCATGTGAACTTAAGACTTTTTGGTCTTGGTTGTTGGCATAGTTTCTAGTGTATGCCTATAATTAGATGCAATATTTGTGCATTTAGTAATGCTTAGAAAATGGGAAGGTAAGCGTCCAAGGTGGAGAGAGCATTCGGCTCTCCCATGGGAAAGGTTGAACATGGGTTGAGAGAAAATCAAGAGAGCTAGAGTGAAAAGTATTCAAGTGAAAGAACTCTTGGGGTAGAGTGAGACTCTTGGGAAAATTCTATGAGTGGGTGTGCAAGGGATTCGGGATTGAGTTATGTTGATTTAACTCATGTGTACTTGTACTGTTATTCATAGTGAAGAGCAATATCTCTCCGAGGATGTAGGCATGTTTTTGCCGAACCTCGTAAATTTCTCGGTGTCTTTATTTCTTGTATTTTATTATGTTCAACTAAGTATAATTTGGTGAGGTTGTAATCTGAATCTCATTTCTGCACTAACGAACGAGCCAAGGCACAACAGGAAATAATTAGAGTTTTTGCCCTCGATAATGTTACACTTAAAGACGCTTCAAACCTAATATATGCTTTTGAAAAGCACTATTCCTTTTTTTCAATAGACGAAGGGTACCAAAACTATTTCACAGTCAATTATCGAACAAGTGTTTTTTTATCCAATTAAACTCTCTTAAGTGTTTTGTTTAATTGAACTTATAAGATTGGTTAAGTGTTCTTGAGTATTTAGAGTTTGTTCTTCTGTAAAACAGACACAGTTATACGAAAAATCAAGAAACAGGATAGATGGTCCATTATCTTTCATGTTAATGGTGGAAGATAATGTTATTCTTTATCCCCAACGACTAGGTTGGAATTCTACCTGCTGTGCTTCAGATTCTGTGACTAAAGTTTACCTCTTTGCAGGGCTATGTTGTTTCGTGTGAGATGCGGTGGACGTAAGTCTTAAGAGACCAGTTTTTAAGGGTATTGTGTATAGTAAACCCTCAAACCAGGGCGTCACTCAATTGAAATAACAACGGAGCAAGCGCGCGGTTGCAGAGTAACAGGCTGGCCGGAAACTAGGCGGTCTCAAGGTTCTCAACTCTTACTGGGTTAACGAGGTAATCACAACAAGCTGATTAACATGATTGCATTCATATACATGCTCTATTATCTTCTAATTTTAGGGTTTGTCGACAAAATTATGATGGCTTCTTGTGATATATGTGACGGGGGACATTGATGAGTCCCTAAACTGAACGGAGCAGGCAACCAATGCTTGTACATTTCAAATATTAACATCGCATATCGATTAGTCTTCACATCCTACAGAAAATTAGAAACTTAATGCGAGTACTTGGTACCCTTGACTTCCGAATGACATAAGTTAGGGTAATTGTCTAACCTAGAAAATTGTTTGCATTGAATTTGAGTTTTTGGACATGCACATATATAGTTTTGAGAATTGAGAAGTGTCTCTCGTTTATCACCATCAACCGTTTGATGTTATACGATATCTTTTACTAAAGAATTTTGTGTGTACTTGAAACACTGTCACATGATACTACTAATTTACGTGTAATTATATAAGTGAGCGACATAGTTGATAAGTCACACTTCTAGAATATATATATCAATAATTTGAGTGAAATAGTAAAACATGGGGATGACACATATAAACAGAAAAATTACCCCTTTTAACTGTCTTCCTTGCAGGATTCAACATACAAATATTATGAGGGGTAATCTTGGTTGAAGCTGCCCACAATGCAATCCGCAACGACACAAGGATGAACTGGATCTGCAATCGGTTCAACCACAGGGAGCTTGGCGGACTCACTTCTGCTGGAAAGAAGTGCAGAGGCTTGAATATCAAGGGACACTTGCACCGCAAGCTACAACGGTCGAGGAGGGCAAATTGGAAGAGGAACAACATGGTATCTCTTCCACGCTATCGAATTGAATGTACTGACTTTGCTAGTTTATGTTTGGTTTTAGGCATTGGAAGAGAGAAGCTGTCGAGTGTTGCTATTGGTAAACTAGCTTTGGACTATTTATCATACGAATGCTTAAATAAGTTGGTTTTTGCCCCTTCTATAAGTTCCTGCTATTGGTAAATTGCTTTTGTGATTGATTCAATTTTTAAGACATTCTAAGCCGTTTGTGTGGATGTTAGCATAGAATTCACAAACTCCAAGACCGAAACATGAACTACAACCTAGAGAGAATTAACCAGTTTACATGTATAAAAGACTAGGAAGAAAAGCATACCTGCAGCAGTTCCAGAACTCGAAGCCGCACTACAAGAAAAATGAGCTTTGGGTACAAAACAAAGGGCACAATTGAGAAGGTTGTGTCAGTTTGACCACCAAAAAGCTTAAACAGTTCCTATTCCATAGAGGGCACCATCTATTGTGCCCAATGTTAAAAAAAGCAGACACAAAACAGTAATGGGCACGGAAACCGTGCCCAGTGGGGTCATATGACAACTTTTTTTTATTGAAGATGGGCACAAAAAACATTTTGTGTCTATAAAATTATTTGTCAGAGGCACTATATGTTCTATCTCGTTTGTCTTTACCTCCTCTAGCACACCAATAATTAAAATTTATAAAATTGTGGTAAATAATGGTATGGAGTTATTTATTACTGTACAATATTTTAGCCTCAAAATAAGTTAGAAATAATGTTGTTCAAATTCATTTTTCGCGAAAGCTGAACCTCATATCTCACATTTACAAGTAAAGAAGAATACCACTAATCGTAGTACTAAGTGGCGTGTTTTAGATTAACAAAGGATCATTTCTAGCTGCAATGAATGATTGTTAGATTCATATCTTTTTGAACTGCTTTTTAGATTGTTATCTTTCTGCAGGTTTGTTTTTTTTTATACTTGGTGATATGGTTTTTGGTTTTATAGTAAGTGTTCATTTTTTTTACTGTATTAAAAGTCCTTGATGCAGTGACACATAACCAACAATTGTGCCCTTAGGGTCGGTAGACAAATGAGTTAATAATTGTAGATTCCTTTTTATGACACTAATGATAGAAATTGTGTCCACTAAATATTAATAAATAATAAATCACTCTACTTCTCATTGGGCCTTCGAATAGATAATATATCTTAATAATTATAAATTCCTTTTTCTGACACAAAGGTTAGAAATTGTGTCCAACAAAAATTAATAAATAATAAATCACTCTATAGCAAGTGGAATATGTTGGCACAATTATGGATTTGTGCCTATATTCTAGTATAAAACATCCACACTCCCTTACTAATTTGTATATGGAAAATAAGAAGGTTGCTTCATACACTTGTGTTTCTTTTGAATTTGATCAAGTTCTACATCATTGAGAATGGCGGACAGGCGACGTCGCGGAGTTAGAATTGGAACCGAATCTCCAACATCACATTCGTCTATTGCTTCCAACATTACAACAACAAATTCCACAACGAATCCTCCAGCTCAACGTCCACGACAACCTGTTAATGGCGGGCGCATACCTCGTTCTATTGATAATCAGTACATTCTTACTACTGTTGCTGATGGTCGGCTTGGCTACACATTACCCTCCAATAACGGCTACGTACGCGCACCTCAGGGACATGTATTGCCAGCATGGGCAAACCCAGGTAGGATAGAACAATACCCTGTCGATTTGGTTTCTGATGAAACAACAATTGAAGAGTCTACCAGTTCTGTCGTTATTATTGAAGAACCATGCACTTATCAAGCACAAATTCGTCCTAGAGGCCTGTTTTTCCCACAGACGAGCTCACAAAATATGCAGAATGTTACCGTTGAAATTTTAAGCAGCGACGACGAGGAAAATTAATATATTTTGTATTATGTTATATTTCACTGGTATGTGAAAATATAATTATCTTATGCTATGCTGGACTGCTCTTGGGTCCTTTTATCAACTTATGTAGTATTAAATATAATAATGTTTTCTTTCTAATTGGCCCATGATATAAATACTCCTAGCATTGTATATTTTTTTGTTTATAATTATGTTTCCCGTTTGGTTCGTACCGCACAAATCAGTGAATTCACAACATGTCAACGCAAGCATTATGACACTTTACCAGTAAAAGAAAAGAAAAAAGAAAATAAATAAAAATGAAAGAACAAATGAAGCCTGACACCAAAATAAAAAACTTGGGTTTCTAGCACTGCATTACACAATTGTGCCCACTAACCCTTATAATATTAATTAAAAAATAATTATTATAATAATAATTGTGCCCACTACTTACAATAATAATTAAAATTCTACCCTATTTCTATTCACTCCCTTCCATCTCTCAGACTCTCAGTCCGTCGACTCTCACCCTCACTCTCCAAAAATTCATACGCCGCTCCTCCTCGCTCCTCCGTCCAGTTCGAACCCACTCCTCCGTCGAGTCCGTCCACTTCAACGCCGCTCATCTGTCCATTCAAAGGCATTCCTCCGGCGACACACACAAAGACACAGGAGGCCCAAAATACAGGTGAGGTTTCTTAAATTCAATTTTTCGATGGGTTTTTGTTCTTTAGGGTTTAGGGTCAAATTGGATGTGTATTTTGTCGAATATGGTTTATGGTTTGAGGACAGTGGGTATAGGATTAGGAATCTAGGATGGGTGCAGGTCTTTGGGATTGGAAGGGTTTCAAGTTGAGTGTGCTCCGATTTAGGGTGGGTGCAGGACATGGAGGTCATTGGGAAAGTGGGTGGGTGGGTAACGGTTCATAGGTTTAGGTTTAGGGTGGGTGGGTGCAACGGCTGCAGCTGTTTTGCTTGGTATGAAATTGACAATTAGAACTAGAGTTGATTATGTTTATGTTTATGAAATTGTAGAATCTGGTGCAACAACTGCAGGATTTGCTTGCTGTATGTTATGTAGAATCTGGTGCAACAGCTGCAGGATTTGCAGGGCCAGGCTTAGCAGAAGTTTTACTCGGTAACTTTGTTGCTACCTCCTTATATCCCTTTTTTCTTTCTTCCAGAGCCTGGTTGCATATCTGTACTCTCTGTATAACGAACCCTGATTATTATTTACTCCTTTCTTGTTATCATCCTTTAGGAGATCTCTTATGTTTTTGTAAGGTTGTTATCATCCTTATGATTATGTCTTTCACATTCCAGGGGTGGGTATGTACTTTAAGATATTATTAAGACATTATTAAGACATCATTGAAGTTTTCACATTCCAGGGGTGGGTATGTACTTTAAGATATTGTCAAGAGATGTTTACCAATTGCCAGTGCCACACTTATGTTCAAGTGAAAAAGAATATGTACTTCGTAAAGTGTATTGAAGTACGTTGGTTTCGCTGCTTGGAATAATAATTCATTGCATTAGAGTTTATACGCTTTAGTATCCTGTTCTCTTTTCTTCTTTTCTTAATTCTGCACTTTTTGAAACAGTACAAGGGAAAGGATACCAGCTTGCAAATTGCAATTGATATTATATGGTTCATAGAATTGTAATCTTACACATTTACTGGGGCTTTTATGAATATTTACCATCTACATATCACTTTTATACTCATTTATAATCATTCGAGGGAGCGAGCTGGTGAAAAGTTATAGGATTCTTTAATAAACAATTATGTTAATTTTTTTGTTCCATTTAATTTACATGTAAAGGTTCTTCTTTTGGGGTCCAATAATGATTCAGGTTTTTTTATTGTAAGTTTGGATTTATATTACTTCGTTATCATAATTGTTGTGTATTTATATGTTTCATTCTTTTAACAATCTCAGTTTCTTTATCGCAACATCAAAGAAGCTGAATACGTTTATTCGACTTAACCTTTCAGGAGGTGGGTTAAACTCTCTCTCTCTCTCTCTCTCTCTCTCTCTCTCTCTCTCTCTCTCTCTCTCTCTCTCTCTATATATATATATATATATATATATATATATATATATATACATGAGTCATAGCTACCTATCACTGTCTCCTTTGAACAAGTTTTATGCTTCTGCAGGAGCTGCTGCTCTATTTGGACTATGGAGCTTGTCTAGGTCCTTAAATTCATGTGTTAGCCATTTTCTTTCTCAGGATGGAAGTCGTATGCAGGCGGAGTTAGCAACTATGTATGTCACCATTTTTTTTAGGATGTTTGATTATTCACTTTTGTGCAATTGGCTAGAAACACTGGTTTTCTTCTGGTATGCATGAACAGTCATGTTAGCTGTCTTGGTGTGGATCTTTAGCCATCTTGGTGTGGATCGATTCTTCATGAGTTGTAATTAGGAGTTGAAAATTTTGAGTTCATTGTCCTTCTTACAATTATGGAATTGAAGTCCTTCTGATATTATTCATTCACAAAAACTTCGTTTTCGGGATATGACTAATGTCTGCCCTTCCATCACATCTCTGCCAACCCGTTGCTTACTTGGTTTTGTATGTAATTATCTGAGTATATATGGGACATTACTGTACATGTATTTATCCGGAAAAGAAATGCATTGTAGTATATGACCAATATCTGCTTGTTTTATGTTTATAAACTATTTGATATCTGAGAATATTGGTTAGTTGTCATCAAGCAACCCTTGTAGATGTGTATTTTGTTTATATATTATTGGTTTGAATTGGTATACAAGCTTAGATATGTTATCTTTTGTTGTATACAGAGAATCCTGGGTATGTCCAGCATAGGATAACATGTATTTTTTTGTTTAACATTTGGATGGGTTGTATTGTTAGGTTACATGAATCAGTCTTAGCCAAGAACATGGGTGATAATATATTAACTTCACTATTTTAGTGCTAATGTTAATGAATCTAATGTTGATTTATGTTTAGTTTGTAATGGATGATTTGTAAGTTCCTCAAATTTGGTGGAAATTAGGTCATGTGAGCAAGCCTGATGATTTCTATATTTAAATAAAAATATCCAATTTTACCCCAAAAAAAAAAAATTAAAATATCCAATTTTACCAATTTTTTTTATTTATAAATATCCAATTGTGCTGGAGCGTTATTGTATTTATTCAAATATAATAGAGTGGCACAATTTTAAAGTTGTGGTGCCTTTGCTTTCACATTTATACATCAATCTTAGCCTTTAAAATAGCAATTGTGCCCATCTTACACCATACATTCAATAGCCTTTATTAGAGGTGAGACACAAAAATGCTTGTATTTGTGCTTAGCCTTTGGGCACAAATCATCATATTGTGCGCTTTCTGAAATGGTGACGCCCATAGAGGGCACAGACCCAGAGATAGTAGCTGCGTTGTTGCTATTGGTCTATGGGCACAATTGTTGGTGCTTTTTGACCTCAAAAGGCACAGATAATTTATTGTGCGCAGTGCTCATTTTTTTTGTAGTGCCGTAGCAGCAAGCTTTAGTGAACCTTCTCTTCTCTCGCAGTTTATCAAGTACTCAACTTACAAATAGGATTAAGTCCAATATGCACATGTGTTCTGTGAGAAGAGAGACCAATATATATACATATAATCTTTACCATAACAGATTCATTAGGATTCCCTATCAAAATCCATATAGGAAACAAATACTTGTTTCCTTGTTCTAATCTCAATGCTATACAAAATCCCTCTTTGACAAGGATTAGTATTCCTTTTATCAACAAGACTTTTCTATCAAATTGAACACCTATAACCGGTCCTAAAACTTCTTTATCTCATACTCATGTTCTTCCAAGCAAATGGTTTGGGCTCGAATGAATGAATCTGTTCACCAAAAAACAAAAATACATAGAAGTCAAATTCCTTTTGTTTTTGTTCTTTTTGGTGGGTGGCTTTTGCTTTATTTCTTTTAGAATTATTTAAGAATGCCGAGTCGATAATCAATTATCAAAAATTCGTTAAGCTAATGAGTTTTATACGGCACCATCTATTAAGATAACGAATATGACACGAAAACAACACAAACACATCCATTTACCAAGTCTAGCTGTATCCCCCATCCAAAAGGCAATCATTCCTTCAGCTCCCCCAACATTGCCACACACACAAAATGTCAAAAACCAAACTTTTTTGCTGTTGACCAACATTAACAAGAAAATAATTATCAAATAGTAATTTTTTGCTTGCTTCTAATAGGGATATTTGATGAATTAAACAAACCCCAAATCATGCAAAAATCTAACTGCAAATCAAGCTGTCTATTAACATAACCGATAGAACAAGGTATAATGGAAATAATAGAAGTGAACATTTTAACTTTCAACTCAAATGAGCAAAAAGGTTCTCTTACGCGTTTAATCATAATGAAAACTAAACGACTTAAATGCTTTTTTTGGTTAGTGGAATTAGGGCGGATAGTGTGTTGGGTAGGAGTACATAGGGTTTAGAGTTCGAAATCCTCTAATGAGCCGAAAAACAAAATTGAACAAATTGCTAGTGTAGTTAGCTACGTTGATGATTCATAGGACTCCCACGGGTATATTGGTTGTCCTCCAATGTCTCCACAAATGACCAACAATGGTAATTATAAGCTTTGAAAGCTTGGGCACAAAAGTGTTACTAAAAGAGAAAGATGAAACTTATGATTAAAATGTAGACTAGGGTTGTAGACAAGTATCCAACAAAGGCATATATATGAGTATAATCTTCCAAAAGGAAATGATGGTGGTTTTTGAGTTTTTCCTTGGGAGATTGAATTTCCTCCACAGTTTTCGTAGCATTTAGGAGTAATGTTAAGTAAACTAAATTTGCAAGTTAAATGATGTGTCAACAATAAGAAATAAGTATGTTAATTAGCACTTAATAATAATCAAATCATCAACTTCCATGTCATTTAATTTACAAAATTTTGTCTACAAATTTAGTCTCCCGAGCATTACTTTAGCATTTAGTCTTTGATTTTCTGTCAAAAGTATGAAACAATGCATTTTAAAGAGAAGCGGGTGGGCCAACGAGACTTGGTTGGGTTGATAAAGATCATTCTCTTTACTAGAACAAGACCTAAATTTGAGTCCTGTTGTTGACAATCTTCCTTAATGGGCAATGTATAAAAACAAAAAAATAGGTTAAAACTCTTTCTATAAGTCCTCCAATAGGCTTTTGGTATTCAGAATACCCGCCCCTCTCCTAAACTTTTGTCAATAAAAAAAGAGATGGTGGGGTGGGGTGGGTGGGGGAATAAGAAACACTCTATGATCATTTTGCCCATGCATAATATAAAATTTGTTACAAGACAGAAAATGTTATCGAACTCAACTATTTTTCTAATATTTTTCCTAACTATCTCACACAAGATGGCATATTATGCGCGGGACTATGTTGGAAAATTGAAAAACTGTTAGCATTAAGATAACACGTGTAAGAAAACATTAACAATATCTCTTCGACTGTATATTATATGTACTTATTATATTTTTGTGGCTAAATTACGAATGCAATTTTCGTTTGATCAACGAATTAAAAGATAGCTTTGAGATCACATTACAATGTGACTGAATTAGCGAAACATGCATGTTCAGGTACATGATTGATGTATGAAAATGAAGCGGATAGATAACCAGGAAGGCACATACTTCTGGATCAATGAATTTGGATGTGCCTTCATGTAAAGAAGACATGAAAACTAAAAAATATTAGGGCTTTTATCATCTTCTCTTGACCTAACAATGTAATTTGGGGCAGCTTCCCAATACCGTCCCCAACACTTTTCTATCCCTTTGCTTTAGAAGGTCTTACAAATCATTTCCTCGTCGATCTCATTTTTCTAGGTGCATTTTTCTCACGTTCTAAAGTGACTAGTAATGCTCGTCATCCTACTTATTAACATTGTGTAAATTTAAATTTTGAGATTTGTGTCTATTCATTACACAGATCTTAAAATTTAAATTCATCAAACAGTAATAAATAGAGTAGTGAGCATCATCGTAACTTGAGAATAGTAAACATCACCATCACTTACGGATGGGAACAAAAATATCTCCCATTTTTCTACACATACACTCAAAATAACTGGTGGTGCTCTCAATTCTCTCAACCTATCTTAATTTTTCAGCATCTTTTTCCTTTTAAACAAAACACCAAATGATAGAGCATGGCATGTAACTGCAATGATTTTTTTTTGTATGTTGTTCAAATTCACTTAGACCACAAGGATTCACCTACATATAAAGGTTTCAAATGGTTGATTATTACAAAAAGCTAATCGATCACATGGATCCCTCTTAATTACCTTAACTTTCTAAATTAATCTTCCCAAAAAGTTGTTTACAAGCTAAACGACAAAAGTTTGCCCCTCTTACAACTAGTTAAACCCGTTTTCCCTTTTATTAATTATATAACTTGCATTGGGGATCGAAGTCAATTGACCTTCCTTTGTATATTTAACAAAATGGTAAACCGTAGGCAAGTATGTTTATCTATTTTCTTATGACCAGATAACCCCCACACCAAAGGCAAGTATATACTATATTACTACTCTAAATTAGACCGAGAAAATGGTGATTTAAATCTTGTAGGCGGTAGATTAAAGAAAAATGCTCTATTTACCAAGTCAATTCACCACTTACACATATAAAAGTAGGTAAGTTTTTTTCGGCTTCATATACTATATTAGTAAATATTACTATATGTATCAGACCTCTAAATATATAGAGGATGTGGATAAGTTTACAAGATCAGAATTCCATGCATGTGTCTTGCTACTTAGCACTAATTAAGGTGATCTCCATGAATGTACCTAAAAAAGCCATGCATATATATGTGTCAAATTAACCATCACAAGACGTCATTTAATTAGACACCAACATGGAGAGTAAAATATAATTTAGGGTAATGGGTTTGAAGCAGTTGTTAATTACTCCTATTATTTCCCCCCCTAAAAGATGAACCACTTTTGGGGTTCATCATATGATTCTGCACAAGCATATTAACGATAAGCATAGGTTTGGGGCATCTCTATATATCTTGTTTCTAAGAATTTGGGAAAAGGTCAAGAGCTCATCTTCAAAACATAAAACAACAACAATGAATATATAATGAAGTTTAATTAAGAGGGCAAAATAATGGTATTAGAACAAGTTAACCTACGTGTAAAACCCAACGGCCACATGTGCTCTACATTACCCAATATGTGTTGTCCACATATTTGGGTTGAAAAGTCATCACATGTGAAGGGGCGTGTGAGGATGTGAAGGTAAAAGAGTCTCACAATAGTGAAAGAAAAAAAAACTTTGTAAAGACTTGTAAGAGATTAGGCTACTCCTCATATTCTCAACTGATTCTATGATAGAGCCTCAATTTTCTTAAAATTGCATGTCCATGTCTTAATGGAGCGAGGGCAAAATTGTATTTGTATATGACTGCTAGATGTACGTTGAGATATATTAGCTTTTAGCTCCAAATCTTGACTTAGTTGATCTCACATGCTGATCATATCACTCAACTTCAAACCCTAATAATTCTGTTCTCCACTAATTAGAAAGTGCATGCTCTCTTATGTGAAGAAAAACACACACAAAAGAGGATACACCAAAAGGGAAAAATTAATTTCAAA